CGGGGACGGCTGGGCGGCCTACGTCGGGAACCCGACGACGTGCGAGACGGACGAGGACCCCGAGTCGTGCGACGCGAGTTTCAAGACGAGCTACCAGGCGTGCACGCGGTCGCAGATCGTCGCGCTCGAGGTGCCCGGCGCCGTCGACGCGGCGCTCTTGGATTCGGGCACGGTCGCCGTCGTCGTCAGCGAGGAGGTGCGCGAATTTTACGAGGTCGACAAGTTCTACATCAAGGCCGCGCTCTGCAAGGACGCGCTCTGCAAGCAAAAGGTCGCGGTCTGGGACCCGTGCAAGGGCGTGTCCAAGGTGCCCACGGAGGAGAAGGCGCGCTGGTGCGAGACGCGCGGCGGCGTCGTCGACGGCTGGCACGCCCACGGCCACGCGTTCGGCGGCAAGGAGGTCGCGCGCGGGGCGCGCTACGCGGAATTCGCGGACGGCGGCGTCGACAGCGAGTACTGGACGGGCTACTGGGGGCCTTGGTTCCGCAACGCCCACCTCGCCGTCCACGCCTCGAACCACACCTTCGCGCCGACCGTCACGCCGCGGCCGACGGTCCGTTCCGCCGCGCCCTCGACGAGCCGCGCGCCGACCAGCCCCATGCCTTCAAAAAGACCGACGTCCGCGTCCAGTCCGGCGCCATCCGCGCGGCCGACGACCGCGGAACCGACGGCCGCGCCGCACGCCAAAAAGAAGAAGAAGACGGAGGCGGAGGGCGCCTCTACCGGTCGTGGCATCGTCGTCGCCCTGACCTTCCTCGCCGTCGCGGTGCTCGCGGCGGGCGGCTTCGTCGCCAAGGCGCTCTACGACACGCGACGGCAGGGCGTCCACCACGCCTACGAGAGCGTCGAGCTCGCCACGGTCGAGGCCGTCCGCGACAACCCGTTCGACGACGGCGGCTACGAGATCGCCGTCCCTGTCAAACGGGATTTTGTGTAATTTGTCTGTGCCAGTGCCATTGCAGGCACACCCGTCCACGTCCCCTTAGGCGCCCGCCCGCCCCCTAGGACGCCGCGGGCGCGGGCGCGGGCGCCTTGGGCGCGCCCTCCTTGTCCTTCGGGTGGGTCTCGCGGCCCGCGACGAAGCGGTGCTTGAGGCACTCGAGGATCGACGGCCGGTTGTCCGGGTTGAGCATGCAGGTCTGCTCGAGGAAGTCCGCGAGGTCCAGCACGACGCGCTTGTCGTCGGCGCCGGCCTTCTTCTCGAGGAAGAAGTTCGCGATGGACCGCGTCGCCTTGACGACGTCGACGAGCGTGAGCCGCGGCTCGCCCGTGCGCTCGTCCATGACGCGGTGCTGGAACTTGAACGTCGAGCCGACCTCGACGAAGTGGGGGTCCAATAACAGCAGGTCCGTGTAGGACCGCGCGTGGGCCTTGAGCATCTTCACGGGGAACCGGCCCTTGAGCTCCATCATCAGCCGGAGCATGTTGTTGTTGTCGACGCCCGCGTACATGATGTGGCCCGTGTAGAGCTCGTAGAGGCACGTCGCGATGGACCAGAGGTCCACGCGCGTGTCGTACTTGAGCCCCAGGATGATCTCCGGCGCGCGGTAGAAGCGCGACACGAGGTACGGCGACGGGTCGCTGCAGCCCGGGTCGCTCTCGCGGAACGCGGAGCCGAAGTCGCAGAGCTTGAGCACCGCGTTGTTCTCGGACACGAGAATGTTGTCGGGCTTGATGTCCGCGTGGACGATGCGCAGCTTGTGGAGGTGGCGCAGCGCGAGGAGGAGCTGCTTCGCGTAGGTCCGCACGGCCGAGATGTTGATGCCGACGTGCTTGCCGTACTTCTTCAGAGCCTCCCGCAGGTTCATGCTCAGCGACTCGAAGACGAGGGCCGTGTGGGACCGGTGCTCCGTGTGGCTCAGCAGGCGCACGCAGTGGTAGCGGCTGTCGCCGTCGTGCTCCGCGATGAGCTTGAGGAGCTCGATCTCCTTGGACGCTAAATTCTTCATCGTGTCGTTGTTGCGGATCATCTTCACGGCCACGTAGCGCGCGCTCCCGCCCTTGCCCGCCGCGTCGTCCTCGGCCTCCGCGGCGACGTCGCGCGCCTTGAGCACGGAGCTGAAGACGCCGCGGCCGACGACGCCGAGCACGCGGTAGCGGCCGTCGATGACCTCGCCGGGCCGCGCCATGTAGTAGCCCTCCGTGTCGTCCCAGTTGGCCTGCTCCTCGTCGCCGAGCTCGCCCGCGAGGAGCTGCGCCGCCGTCGCGCGCTTGCCGAGGAAGTCCTTGGCCGCGCCGCCGTCGCCGGGCGCGGCCTCGACGGGCGCGTCGCCGAACATGTCGAAGGACGCCGTCGCGGGCCGCTCCTCGGCGAGGCCCATGGTCGTCACCTTGTAGTGCAAGGCCTTGTCGCGCGCCTCGCGCTCCGCGGCCGCGGACTCGCGCGCGTCCTCGGCCTCGTCGCGCGCGGCGGCGGCCTCGGCCTCGGCCGCCGCGGCCTCGGCGGCGGCGGCGGCGCCCGTCGGCGCGGCGCCGCCGTCGCCCGCGGGCGCCGCCGCGGCCTCGCGCTCGTGGCGCCGCTTGATGGCCTCGCGCTTCGCCTTGCGCTCCGCCGCGCGCCGCGCCTCGGCCGCCTCCTCGTCCTCGCCGTCCTCCTCGAAGGCGCGCAGCTCGTCCTCGTCGACGACGATGCCGTCGTCCGCCGCGAGCACGTCGTACTCCGCGAGCGCCGCCTTCTCCTCCTTGCGCTTCCGCGACGCCGCCTTCTCCTTCTCGCGCAGGGACGACGACGTCGTCGCGCGGTCGTCGTCGCGCCGGTGCCGCTTGCGGTCGTCGTCGCGGTCGTCGCGCCGGTCGCGGCGGTCGCGCGACCGCGACCGCCGGCGCCGGCCGCCGCGGTCGCGGGAGCGAGACCGTGAGCGCGGCATCGCGCGTCGCTGGACGGGTCCACTGCTCGGCTGCACATGCAGGCATGTTGACCAAGGTCGCGGTCGCCGGGGGTCGCGCCGCGCGCGCGGCGACGGCCGCCAGCACTCCTCCGCGGTCGCGAGATCTCTCTTGTCCCGGGCCTCTCCGCGGGGCCACACTCCGGATCCGCATCCCGAACGTCCGGAGCGATGTCGAGCCATCCGCGGGCCGGGCGCCCGCGGTCGATGTTGGCGCTCTGATTCAAAGCATGGCGAACGCCGCAAAGACTCGGGCGGTTACCGCGAAGCGCGGCCGCGCCGCTGCCCCGGAGGTGCCGGCGAAGAAGGCGCGCACGTCCAAGGCGCCCGTGGCCATCCTCGACGACACGGTGCTCCATTTCCCGGGCGCCCTGACCGCGCGCGACCTCGACCTCCTGACGAACCACCTGACGACGCCCGAGGTGCGCGGGGAGCTCTTCGACGCCGTGCTCCACGACAGCACGAACACGCAGTACGGGTCGCGGCGCTGCGACGCGGCGTGGCTCAAGCTCGCGTCGCTGCCCGGCCAGCGGAAGATCCGCGCGGCGGCGGCGGCCGCGCAGGCCAAGTGGGGCCTGCTGCCGACGACGTCGCGGGGCGCCATGCGCTGCGAGTACGAGGACGTGCAGTACACGGAGTACCGCGGGGACCGGGGCGGCCACTTCAAGCAGTGGCACGTCGACGCGGACGAGGGCGGCGACGACGCCGAGGACGCGCGCGTCTACACGCTCGTCGCGCTGCTCGCGGAGCCCGGCGCCGAGTTCGCCGGCGGCGACTTCGAGGTCATGACGCCCAAGTGGCCCGGCGGCAAGCGCCGCGCCGTCGCCTGGCGCAAGGGCGACCTCATCGCGTTCCCGGCGCAGAAGGTCTGGCACCGCGTCATGCCGACGACGTCGGGCCTCCGCAAGACCCTCGTCGTCTGGTGCAAGGACCCCACGCTCGCGATCCCCCAGTAAAAAGCAAGCAAGCAGCCCCCGTTAGCACGTCGCCTTCTTCACGTGGGAAAGCAAGAAGCCCCCGTTAGCACGTCGCCTTCTTCACGTGGAGCGCGGGGTAGTGCTGGGTGCACGGCGCGCCCGACATCGCCCGCACGGTCGCGTAGCCGTTGGCCTTGGCCCAGCGCGCGCCGAACTCGGACCAGCAGCGCGGGCCGTCCTTGGCCTTGCCGTCGTAGACGTCGCCGAGCAGGTCCGTCACGTAGAGCACGCCGCCGCACGCGACGGACGCGCCGAGATGGTCGAACGCGGCCTGCCACAGCTTCTGCGCGCACGCGAGGCCAGAGTGGGACGCGCGGCTGACGTGCTTCTCCGTCTTGCCGTTCTTGCCCGACGCCCAGCTGCCGCCCCGCTTCCGGCCCCGCAGGGCTCGCCGGGCGTCCGCCGTCCGGTTGCCCGCGGCGACGTGCCCGGCGCGCCGCGTCGCTCCGTCGGCGGCGGCGAGGCGCCGGCCGTCGACGCGCCCGTCGTCGACGCCCGGAGTCGTTCCGAGGCGCCGGCTCGGGCCGCAGACGCGGTCGCGCTCCGCGGGCAGCGCGTCGGGCGCGGTGTGGTGCATGCCCTCGGCCTGGAAGACGAGGTCGAAGGTGCACTTGGCGCAGAAGGGCAGCGGGTCGAGCCAGGACCAGTCGAGGATGAGCGACCCGCGCTCGCCGCAGACGCGCGCCATGGAGCAGTCGTAGAAGCCGAAGCTCACGAGGCGCACGCGCTCGCGCGCGTGGTGGCGGCGCAGGTGGGCGTCGAGGGAGCAGGTGCCCGCGCCCGCGTCGAGCACGGTCGCGATGTGGCCGTCCTTGATGTCCTTCGTGAACGACGGGAGCCACTCGCGCTTCTCGGGCAGCACGCCCGCGACGCCGACGTAGTTGCGCCGCCAGGCCTGGGGGTTCCTCTCGGCGTACTTGCGGCCCCAGACCGCGGGGCCGTAGTTCTTGAGCATGGCGTCGACGTCCCAGAACGCGAGGCGCCCGAGCGACGTCGACGGCGCGGCGGCGACGGCGCCCGCGCGGTTCGCGTCCGCGATGGTCGGGTAGGACGAGCTCGCCCGCGTGAAGCGCGGGCACTTGGGGCACCGCTTCGGGTCGGCGACGCAGCAGGCGCCCGCGACGGCCTTGGCGTCGTGGACGCGGCGGAAGACGTTCGAGAAGCGGCCGTCGCGCCGGAGCACCGCCTGCGTGGACATCAAATCTTCAATCCGACTTCGACGTGCGCGTGTTCGACAGTTTCGACGCGAGCTTTTCTGCCGTGCTTCGAGGGCTCGACGAGAGCAATCGATTCGTCCAAAAATCAGCCGAATCGACCTCGATTCGACCGAGCTCGAGAGTTCTGAAGTTTGGTGGGGATGTTGATTTCCACACGGAGCACCGCGGACAGCGGCACGCACCGCTTGTTGTGGCTCACCTTGCCGCAGACCGTGGGCGCCCCCGGCGCCGCGCAGAGGTCCGCGCCGAGGGCTTTGGACGCCAGGTGGGCGTCGACGAGCGCCGCGGCGTCGCCGGGCCTAATCGCGACGAGGACGCCGTCGCCGGCCAACACGCGCGCGCACTCGACGAGCAGCTGGATCGTTTCCTCGTCGGTCATGGCCCGCACGCGCGGCGTGCCGAGGTCGACGACGACCATGTCGACGGCGAGCTCCGCGAGCGGCAGCGCGGCCGTCGCGCCGTCCAAAAGCACGGACGCCGCGCCGGCCCGCCAGAGCGCCTCCGCGGCCGCCGCGTCGTAGGCGACGTGGAGCGCGTCGTGGTGCGGGCTCCGGAAGACCGTCGCGTCGGCGACGTCGACGAGGAGCACGGACCGCACGACGGGGAACAGCGCCGCCTCCTTCGCGAGGTTCTTGCCGCCGAGGAGCTCGACGCGCGGCGCGCGCGGGTCCGCGGCCGCCTCCCCGGCGTTTATCTTCGTCGCGCTTGCGGAGAAGCCGACGAAGGCGCAGGCGCCGCAGGTCCGCGGGCAGGCCTGCGCCGCCAGGCGGCCCGACGCGTCGGGGTAGGTGCAGTACTTCTCGCGCGCCTTGCTATTCATCTTGCCAATCTTCGAGCACGACGCCGCCGGGTGGCTCCCCCGCTTCGTCTTGAACGAGGCGTCGTCGGCGCATTTGTCTTGCGACGATGACGCGAACGATGCGAGGAGGAGGAGGAGGGCGGCGGGCCTCATCGCCTGGTCGCTCGCTCTTTTTGTTGTGGAAATAAATTTTTGCACCGCAGGGAGACGCACAGGCTCGCGGGCGACGCACGACCCCCGAGGGCACACGTAACCTACGAGACGATGGCAGGAGACGAAGAGGGCGGGGGCGAGAAGGACTGGCAGAAGAAGGCTCGCGAGTTCGAAAAGGTCAAGGCCCGGGCGAAAGCCCTGAGGCTCCGCCTGACCTGCACCATCTGCGGGGAGAAGGCCAAGCTCAATTGCCCCTGCGGCACGACGCAGTACGCGCCCGGCGCCGACGCGCGCGATGGGGCCGGGGGTGGCCCGACGCGTCCCGTCGCAGGTACTGCTCGACGGACTGTCAAAGAATCGACTGGCGGGACCGCGGCCATCGCAAAGCCTGCAAGAAGATCCGGGACGAGCGCGCGGCGGAGGCGGCGCGCGCGGAGGCGCCGACGCCCCCGCCGTCGACCCCGAAGGAGGTGTTCTACGGCCCCGCGCCGCGGTCGCACGCGGATGAAGTCCGCGCGCGCATCGCGGCGGAGCACGAAGCGGCCCGCGCGCGGCGCGAGGCGGACCCGGAGCCGGAGCCTCTATCGGCGCGGTTCGGGGGGCATTGCCCGATCTGCATGGAGGACTGGGACGTGAACGATCTGCCATGTCTGATGATCTGCTGCTGCCGTACGATCTGCACGCAATGTGTCAAGAAGTTTCAAAATGATGCATGTCCTCTCTGTCGAGCGCCGTGCGCAGAGACCCGAGCGGAAAATCTGGCGCGGCTTCGTCGTCACGTGGAGAACGAGATACCCGAGGCGATGAATCGATTGGGCATCGCGTATAACCACGGCCAGCTGGGACTAGTGCAAAATCTGAAGAAGGCCGCGAAATGTTTCAAGCGTGCCGTGGAGCTGAGGAACGTGGATGCGAGCCATAACCTTGCCGTATTGTACACTGAAGGTGCGGGCGTCACGCAGAATAAGAAGAAGGCAATGCAGCTGTTTCGTATGGCCGCGGACCGCGGCTGCCTGAAGGCGCAGTTGAATTACGCGACGTATCTCTTCCGGGACGGAATCGACAGCGAAGCTTCTGTCCGATACATGAAGTTGGCTGCAGACCGGGGATTCACACCGGCCGAATTCAACGTCGGTGTAATGCTCATCAATTCCAAACCGGGCGAGGCAAATCTTGACATAAAGCTGGGGATGGACTATCTCATGAAGGCATCCCAAAAGGGCCACAAGGAAGCGAAAGCCGCGCTCAAACAATGCGTCGAGCACATCAAGTCTGGTGTCATCACGTGTTACAAGAAAAAGTAACGTTCACACCTTACCCTCCGGGTCGTCGACACCTACCCCGGCGCCTACCTAGGTCGTAAGATCACCTTCCCCGCCACCGGTCCTCGTACTCCGCCCGCAGCGCGGCGAGCTTCGCGGCGTCGGCCCAGAGGTCGTCGCCGTCCGGGCCCGGGCGCGGGTGGTCGACGCATTCGCCGCCGCCAGAACGAAGGAAGAAGAGCGCCTGGGCGAGCGTGTCGATGCCGCGGGCCTCCAGGTTCGGCGCGAAGGCGGCCGCGTGCGCGGCCGTCAGATGCCCGACGCGGCCCGCGTAGTCGCGCGCGCGCGTCGGCCGCCCGCGGACGACGTCGGCGGTTCCGGCGACGGCCGCCGCGAGCGCGCGCGGCGCCAGCGCCCCGCCGTCGACGAGCGCGTCCGCGACGAGCGCGACGCAGACGACCGCTCCGCCGGGCCGCAGCCGCGACGGCGCGGCGGCGAGGACGCGCGCGAGGACGGCGTCGCCGGCGAAGCCGCCGTCGGAGTAGAGAGCCGTCGATTCCCCCGAGGGCCGCGGCACGAAGGGCGGGTTCGCGAGGACGGCGTCGTAGTCGCGGCGGAGCTCGGCCGCGTCGAGCGCGTCGCTCGCGAGCGCGCGCACGCGGCCGGCGACGCCGTTCCAGGCCGCGTTCGCCGCGCAGAAGGCGAGGGCGCGCGGGTTCACGTCCGCGCAGTCCACGGTTTCGGCGTAGGTCCTCGCGGCGACGATGCCCACGACGCCGCAGCCGCAGCACGCGTCCAGGAGCCGGCCCGCGGGCAGCCGCGGCGCCGCGGCGAGCAGCGCGCGCGTGCAGGCGCTGTAGTACCTGGGAAGATGGGGGGTCGCGGCGCGCGCGCCGGAAAAGGGAGACCCACATGACCGCGTTCCCGCGCGCGCGCGTGCCGGGGAAGTCCGTGAGCAGCCAAGCGCCCTCGACGACCCAGACCATCGCGTTCGCGAAGCACACGCCGTCGACGCCGTCGCGGAGCGCGGCCGCCGCGGCGCGCGCGTCGAGGAGCTCGCCCGGGGTCCGCAGGACGGAGACGAGGCCCGCGGCCGCCGCGGCGCCGGCCGCGGCGCCGAGCGCCGCGGCCGCGCGCGCGGCCGGCAGGGCGCGGTGGAGCAGGAAGAGCCGTCGAAGCTCGAGGCGCCGCGGCTCCTCGTCGCCGGCCCACGCTTTCTCGAGCGCGTCCGCGCCGCTCTCGACGGATCCGCCGCACGGCGGCGGCCCGTCCCAGCGGTCGTAGCTCGCGGCCGCGAGCGCCTCCCGCAGTTGGCCCAGCGCCACGCCACCGACGAGCGCGCGCGCGTCCAGGGCCTCGGCGCCGAGCTGCATGGCCGCGCGCAGAACGAGCGCCGACGCGGCGCGCGACGGCGCCGCGCGCAGGGCCTCCGCCGCCGCGGCGCGGGCAGCAGGCCAGTCGCCGGCCTCGAAGCTGAGCCGCGCCGCCGTCGCGAACTGATGGCTCGCGACTTTCGGCTGGCCGAGGTCGCGAGCGATGCGCGCTCTCCGGTCGCAGGCCAGAGCCGCGGCCATGTCGACGGGCAGCCTTGTTGACCTTTGAAGCTGATCTTCGCCCTTCTTCCGTTGTTGCCCTTCGCTTGGTTGTTCAAAACCGTGCGCACTTCCACCCCTCCCGTTGGCCGTGTCACCTCGCAATTCTGCCAGCCTCGCCAAGGATATCCACCGTTGAATCGCCGCCATGCCGCAGATGCGCAGCGCCTCCTGCCCGCCCACCGCGCGCGTCCGGCGGCGTCTCCGCTCCCTGCGCTCCGCCCCGCGAAGCCCCTCCCGACCCCAGGCATCGCCCCATAAACCAGTGCGGCCCGCCGCCGGGCTACGCGTCGCTGGACGCCCCGGAGCCCCTCGCGGCGTGGATGACGCAGGAGGCGCAGGCCGAGCGGCGCGTCTGGGCGCGGGGCAGCGTCCTCCCAGCCCCGGGGCGGCCCGGTCCCGGCCGCGCGTCCCGCCTCCGCCGGCCGCCGCCGCGCGCGCGGTCGATTTTCTTCGCCCGCAGGTCGAGGCGCCGCGCAAGGTCGTCAACTTCGGGCGCAAGAACTTCGTGACCTACACGGTGCTCGTGGCGGTGGGCGGCGGCGACGCCGTCGCGGTGCGCCGCCGCTTCTCCGACTTCGAGAAGCTCTACAAGTCCTTCGTCGTCCGCTTCGGGTCCACGGGCATGGTCGTGCCGTCGCTTTTCCCGCGTCCTGAACCGCCCCCCCGCCGCCCGTGACGCGCCCTTTTGCCTAGGACGCTGCCCCCGAAGAAGGGCTGGGGCACGTCGCCCGAGGTCGTCGCGGAGCGCGTCTGCGCTCTGACGCTCTTCGTCGACGCCGTGGACCGGAACCCGTTCCTCAGCGCCGACGCGCTCTGGCTCCACTTCCTCACGCCCGGCGGCGACATGGACAAGCCCGACGGCGCGCTCTCGCCGGAGACGTCCGTCGGCGAGCGGCGCTGGCGCGACGCGCGCGCGAACCTGTACGGCGTCGGCCGGGACCGCATGCGCGACGACGCGACGCTCCACGTGGCGTTGGCGACCCTCGACACGTCCGACGCCCAGATCAAGAGCCTGCTGACGGGCTGCGAGGCCCTGGCCAGGGCCATGGATCACTTCGCCGAGGGCGCGGCGGCGCTCTTCGCCGCGGAGGCGTCCTGGATCGACGTCCGCGCCCACGACGAGCGCTTCGACTCCGTCGGCGAGGAGCCGTCGGCGCCGGCCGTGCGCGAGCCCGCGAGCCTGCCCCGGGGCCTCGTGCCGCCGGGCGTCGCGGCCGCCGCGACCGGCCTCGCGGAGCACAAGGAGGCCGTCGGCCGCCTGCCCGCGGAGATCGCGGCCATGGCGCGCGAGGCGACGGACTTCCAGCTCGCCCAGGCCCGGGAGTTCCGCGCCCTGGCGAAGCGCTACGCGGCCATGGACAAGGAGGCCCTCGCGGCGTTAAAGTCCAAGGCCGAGGACCGGTCCGCGCTGCAGCGGCGCGAGGCGGACCTGCGCGCGTTCGGCGGCGCGCTCGTCGCCTTCAGCCTCCCCGTGCTCGCCGAGGAGCGCAAGTTCTGCGTCCAGTCCCTCACGCGCGAGCTGTCGCCGTCGCTCATCACGCACGCGAAGGCGAACGAGGCCGCCGAGGCCGCGGTCCGCTCCCAGCGGGTCCCCTCCGTCGGCGCGGTGACGCCGTCGACGCTCAAGAAGGCGCCCCTCGGCGAGGCGAACACGGGGCCCGAGATGTCCCCCATGACGACCATCAAGTCCTTCCTCGACGACGCCGCGACCAAGACCGCGGTCCCGCGCGCGGAGTCGCCCGAGGGCCAGGTGCCCGTCGAGGCGCTCTAGGCACCGCACCGCCACCCGCTCTCCCTCTTCTTTTTTTAGCTTCTGCCCGTCGGGCACCGCGCGCGCGTCGGGGACCGCGCGTGCGCGAGGCAGGACGCCGTCGAATTTTCGAGGCAGTAGGGCGCGGAGCAGCGGCCGCAGTCCGCGAAAGGGCCCGGCGCGCCGCGGCGCTTGTCGCAGGCGCCCGCGTTCGCCGCGCCGGGGTAGATCGCCGCGAGCGCGACGCCCGCGGCGCGCAGCGGGCCGAGGAAGAGCCGCTGCGCGCAGTCGCAGCTTCCGTGGAAAGTCGGCCGGCCGGACGGCGAGACAGAAGGCGACGACTCGACGCACTTGCCCGTCTCGTTCGAGTCGTAGCGGGCGAGGACGTCGAGGACCGCGTCGACAATAGCTTCGCCGAAGACGTGGACCTGGTCCGGCGCCTTGCCTCGCGACGGCTCCGCGGGCAGCCACGGAACCGCGACCGCTCCGCGCCAGTCGGCCCGCGGCGCGATGGGCGCGCCGTAGGTGATGTCGAGCCGCGAGACGACGTAGAGCGCCGAGGGCGACGCGGCGGCGGCCGTCGCGAGCGCGCGGCGCAGGAGCGTCCGCTGCGACGTCCCGCGGGGGACGTCCTCGACGGCGCAGGACCGGCCCGCGCGCCGCCAGTGCTCGTCGACGAGAACGTTTAGCGCGCATTCGTACAGCAGCGCGACGCAGGCGACGGCGTAGCCGGCGGTAACGAGCGGCGCGACGACGTAGGTGTCGACGGAGTCGAGCTGGTGGCGCTGGTTCCTCGCGACCTGCGTGTCGTTGGCGCAGCCGCCGCCGAGATGCGGGCCGGCGCGGAGCACGTCGCCGCGGAAGACGACGGTGGCCTGCAGCACCACCGACGGGCTCACCATCGGTCACGCGTGTGTCGCATGATTGGGGGCAGCCATAATCACTTGATTGACCTTCAACGTAAGCGTGTGTTAGAAGGCCCGGCTCCGCGGGGGCGGCTTCGGGCGGTTGAGCGTCGTGGCGCACTTGGGGATGTGGCGCTCGGCGGCCTTCGCGTTGAAGGTGCGGCCGCAGTGCGGGCAGGGCACGAAGTCGCGGGTCATGGACTCGTAGGCCGCGCCCGCGGCGCGGGAGGGCTGGATCTCGCGGAGCGGGACGCCCGCGGCCTGGGCCCGGGCCATGCGCTTGGCGTCGCGGATCATGGCCTGGAAGCCGCGCGACTCCTCGCGCCAGTTGGACTTGCGCGGCGGCGCGGCGGGCGGGTCCGGCGGCGGCGGCCGCGCCCCGCCCGCGCGCGACCGCGCGCGGCTCCGCGCGGTCCGCGCGCGGCGGGGCGCCGCGTCGGCGCCGTTGGCCTCGACGATGCGCTGGGCCCGGAGGGCCTTGCTGTCGAAGACCGTGCGCTGCTTCGCGAGCGCCGCGCGGCAGACGCGCTGGTGCACCGCGAGGCGGTCCGCGGCGAAGCCGCGCTGGCAGACGGCGCAGCGGAGGCGGCCGTCGCCCGCCGGCGCCGCGAACTCGAGGGACACGGGCTCGCAGGACGCGGCCAGCGCCGCGGCGCGCGGCGGCGTCTTCCGCTCGATCTTCGCGCCCTTGTGCGTGAAGGGCCGCCCGGGCGTTTTCGGCGACGGCGACGCGCGCGGGTCGGAGAAGATGCCGACGGGCGCGCAGGGCAGCTCGTCGTCGTAGTCCTCGCCGAAGGACGTCGGCCCGCCGCGGAAGCGCTGCCCGCGCTTGCCGCAGCGCCGCACGTGCTCCCGCATCTCGTCCTGGCGCACGAGCTTGTCGCAGTTCGGGCAGGGCACCTCGATGGTCTGCCGCTTCTTCTCGCACTGCGGCAGGTGGATCGGGAGCGAATGCTTGAAGAAGCGCTTCCCGCAGAGCGGGCAGCCCACGTCCCGCGGGGGAGGCATGGTCAAGGCGCAGCTGGGCAGCCCCGTCTCATCGTTTGTTGTCGGGGGGAAACCTTTTCCTTCCGTGTTTGTACCTCTTTTGTCATTGAAGCGCCCGATCCGCGTTAAAGAGGCGCTCTCCCCCCGGGGCCGTCGACGATGCCGCCGACAAAAACGCCGCCCTACGACATCACGAAGGCGCGCGTCAGGAACGGCTACGGGATCACGACGTCGCGGTACAGCATCTCGGAGCTCGGCTACGACGACAAGACGAGCGACGCCGTGGCGAGCCGGCCGAAGCCGCCGTCGAACGTCCACGTCTACTCGAAGCTCCACTACCCGTCGCTGAGGAGCCCGCACCTCCAGGTCTGCTACCCGGAGACCGTCGCCAAGCTGCAGCCGCCCTTCGGCCAGCTCACGCGGAAGGAGACGCCGTCGGAGCTGAAGCGGTTCAGCGGCCCCGTGCGGACGCGCGGCATGCGCGCGGAGGAGCCCTTCGAGCGCGAGTTCCCCAGCATGGCCAAGACCATGGCCGCCAACACGCGGCTCGCCGAGGCCCAGAGGAAAGAGAACCACGCGCGGTCGAGGATCTGCCAGATCAGCTTCTGAGCGCGTCTGGCGTAATGCGGCTTGGCGGAACGGTCGGTGAGGTGGTAGGCGGGGAGGGCGGCGCCCGCGTGTGCGTGTGGCATCGCCTCGGGGCGTGCCTGGTCGGTGGTCCGGGGCCCGAGGCCTCGCGCACGCACACGTTGAAGGAGTCATTGAAGTCCAAGGAGCTGCCCATTCTGGCGCGATGCTTCGCATGCGAGGCGGGGACAGCGTGCCGATATTCTTGCGAGTGCTGTGCCTGGCGTTCGCCGCGTCGGCGCGCAACTCGACGCTCGTAAGGTTGGAGGACAGCGACGCGCTGTGCATCGATGGGTTGCCGGGTGGTTACTACTTCCGCGCGGGCGCTGCGACGACCAAGTGGTACATCCACCACGAGGGCGGCGGCTGGTGCCAGATGGAGCGGCCCTACGAGAGCTGGCCCAACGACAACTGCGCCGCGCGCCGGTCGACGCGGCTCGGCTCGCTCGAGGGCGACCCCGCGGCCGCGGACTGGACGTCGACGACGGGCTGCGCGGGCTGCTCCGACGACGCGGCCATCAACCCGTTGATGCACGACTGGAACAACGTCTACGTTCGCTACTGCGACGGCGGCTCCTTCTCCGGGACCGCCGACGTCGCCGCGCCCAACGGCACGCTCTACTTCCGGGGCAAGCGCGTCCTTCGGGCCGTCGTCGACTCCCTGATGGCGCGCGGCCTCGGCGCGGCGACGGACGTGGTCGTCGGCGGGTCGTCTGCCGGCGGCTTAGCCGTCATTCTGCACCTGGACTACTGGCGGTCGAGGCTCCCGCGGACCGCGACGGTCGTAGGATTGGCCGATTCGGGATTCTTTCTCGACTGGAAACAAAACGGCACGTCGGCGCACTCCTACGACGAAGACCTGAGGTGGGGCTTCGAGCACATGCGCTACGACGTCGACTGCGACGCCGGCGCCGACTGCGCGTTCGCCGAGCACGCGCTGGCGCGCGTCCGAACGCCCGTCTTCCTGCTCCAGACCACCTACGATTCGTGGCAATTGCAATGGGAAATCGGCGAAAAGAAACCCGTCGACTACGCCGCGCTCAACGCCTACGGACGCGAGCTCGAGGACAAGCTCCGCGCCGCGGGCGCGCGCGCCGGCGGCTTCGTGGAGCGGTGCTACCACCACTGCGCGACGCGCGACCTCTGGACGACGACGCCCACGATCGACGGCGTCGCCGCCGGCGGCGCCTTCACCGCGTTCTACCGCGCCGTCGCCGCGGGCGCGCCGACGCCGCCGCTGCTCTGGCAGGACGGGGCGCTCCCCTGCGCGGGCTGCGCCTGCCCCGGTGGGATGGTCGGACCTTAGGCGTCAGCCGTAGACGGACAGGTCGGCGCGGTAGAACAGCTCCGCGACGATGCCGCCGTACTTGTCGAACTTCGTGTCCTTCGCGTCGCCCGTGACGACGAAGAGCTCGACGTCGCCGTCGGCGCGGACGGCGGCGATGAACTTCGCCTTGGACGCGTGGACGAAGGCCCGCTTCATGAGGGCGTTCTTCCGCGCCGTCGACGCCTCCTTCATCGTCGCGACGACGAGCGGCTTCGTCTCGCCGCGGCCCAAGTCGGCCTCGAGCTGGTCGAGGAGGCGCTCGGCCTCGGAGACGTAGTGCGCGGACCGGCGCGCGAGGAACGCGTCGTAGACGTCGCCCGGCGACGACGAGTCGGACCGGCCGACGCCCGCGGGCAGCGCGGCGAGGAGCGGCGCGGGGAAGCCCGGGCCCGCGAGGAGGCAGTTGTAGGCGCCGAGCGCCGGCGGGTTCTGCCTGTGCCAGTCCACGGACTGCATCGCCGCCGGCAGCGACTCCAGCACCTTCTCGAGGTCCTTGGGGGCCTTGACGCCGCTCACCGTCTTGCACTGGCGCCGCTTGTAGCGCGTGCCGACGTACGCCGCGGTCGCCGTGAGGTAGACGCAGGCCTCGGCGTCGCGGATGTCGTCGAGCGCGGCGCGGGCCTCGTCCTCGGCGTAGGCCATGACCCACTTGGAGCTCTCGGGCTCCTCGAGCGGCTTGTGCTTCTTGCCGAAGAGCTCGAGGCCGCCCTGCGACAGCGCGTGCGCCTGCTTTTTTGTGAACGGGATCACGTCCGCGGCGCCCGCGTCGTCTTCCGACGACCCCGCGGCGTAGGTCAGGAAGCCGTGGAAGTCGCCGGATACGCCGCTGAGCTTGCCGATGACGGCGCCGTAGGCGTCCCAGAGCAGGGCCCGCATCTTGTGCGTGCCGCAGCCCTTGGAGTCGGTCTTCATCTTGTCCACGACGGCGGCGAGCTTGCCCGCCTCCATGCCGTTGCAGACGAGCAGGAGGCACAATTGCTTTCCTGGCTGGTCGAAGGACGCCATGGTGCGCAAAGCCAGAGCCAGCTCCGAGCCAAGAGCTGCAAGCACAGCACCTTGTCGTCAACATGAGCGCCAAGAACACGTCGAGTTACGCGGCGACCTTGTCCGCGTACTCCTCCTGGAGCTTCTCGGGCAGGCGCGGGTCCGGGGACGTGGCGCGCTTGTCCGCGCGGCGGTTGAAGTCGACGTAGGCGTCCCAGTGGCGGCGCTGGCGCGCGAGCTTCTTCCGCGTGGTCTCCGCGGCGGCGGGCCGCGGCTCCGGCTTGGCGTGGCGCGCGCGGCGGAGGTGGCGCGCGCGCTTGGCGTCGGCGGCCTCCGTGGTCACGCGCGCGACGCGCGGCGCGGTCGCGTCCGCGAGCTCCTTCGCGTACGTCGCGCGGACCTTGTTCGCGACGCGCCGGTCCGCGGCGCGGCGCGCGGCGACGGCCGGGTCCTCGCCCTTGGTGTGCTCCGGCGGGACGAACTTGAACTTGCGGTCCCGGAGCTCGCGGCGCTCCGCGGCCGCGCGCGCGGCCCGCTTCTCCTTGAGCCGGTTCGCCTGCTCGGCCTCGCGGCGCATGAGCCCCTCGAAGGGGCCCGCGGCGGCCAGCGCGCGGCGCTTCGCGGCGAGGACGCGGAGCTCGGCCTCGGCGTCCTCCGCGCGCTTCTGGTTCCGCTCCGCGCGGTAGAGCCGCCGCCGCTCCGCCGCGCGCCGCGCCGCGTCCGCGTAGAGCCCCGCGGAGCACGCGCCCAGCACCGCCGTCGTCGCGTTCGCCGCCCTGGCGCGGTCGCGCGCCGCCCTGCCGCGGCCTTGTGGCGCCGGGTCGTCGTCGGACTCGTAGGACGGCGCGATGGACGGCGCCGGCGACCCCTCGGGCGCGCGCGCGAAGTCCTCCGCGGCGCCGGCGTCGCCGGAGGACGCGCCGCGGACCCAGCCGCCGTCGGGGGCGCGCTCGGCGTTGCGCGGCCGCGCGCCCATCCACGCGGGGAGGCCCGCGGCGGCGCCGGCGTCGTCGGCGTCGTCCCACGCCTCCGACCGCGGCGACGAGCCCGGCGCGTCGCCCCAGTCCGGCGCGTCGTCGCCCCAGTCCGGCTCCTCGGACCGCGGCGACGCCGACTTGGCGGCGCGCTTCGTCGCGATGGACGCCTCGAGCGCGGCGATGCGTCGCCGGAGCTGCGCGGCCTCGTCGTCCGGGATGGCCGCGGGCGGCGGCGGCGGCGCGGGGCGCGGCGGCGGCGGCGCGGGCGCCGGCGGGGCGTAGCGCGAGGCGTCGTAGGGCCCCGGCGCGGCGCTGGCGGCCGCGCCGCGCGGCCGCGCCGCGCGCGGCGGCGGCGACCGCCGCCGCGGCGACGGGCTCCTCCCGCCGTCGCTGTCGTAGGGCGGCGGCGACCCGGCGTCGCTCTCCTCCGCCGCGGGCACGTCCTCGTGCGCCGGCGTGATCGACGGCACGGCGGCGGCGCGGCGGATGGACCGCGGCGACGGCGACCGGCCGGACAGCAGCGCCGCGGCGAGCGTCAGGTTCGTCCGCACCAGGCCCTCGATCTGCTTGTCGCTCACGGTCATGTAGTTCCGCCCGGCCTCGACGGGCACGTAGTGGATGGGCGCGCGGTCGAGGATGTCCATTGTGCGCTCTCGTCTACTCCATCGTTTGCGGGCAGCCCCGTGTACGTTCAAAAAGGCAACGTGAGACTCAACTTAAGGCGTCCTCCTCCGCGGCCTCGCTCTGCTCGAAGAGGAAGTCGTGGACGAAGTCGTTGGCCCAGTCCGCGCCGAAGTAGGACGTGAAGAGGCCGTGGGCCGGGTCGCGGGCCGCGTTGAAGACGTCGTAGTCCGCGTGCGCGGCGCTCGCCGCCGCCGCGCCGTCCGCGTCGACGTCGCACGTCTTCACGAGGTCGACGTAGGCGTCGAGGTAATCCACGAACGCGGGGAAGAGCGTGTCGTCGACGGCCTCCGCGCCCCGGTCGAAGCGGCCGTAGAGCATCTGGCCGCTGAAGAAGCGGTTGTCGTCGTACCACTTCGAGCTCACCTCGCCCCGGAGCTCCTCGTTCTTCGGGTCGCCCCGCACGGCGTCGAGGGCCGACGTGTCGTGGGGCACGGAGCCGTCGTCCGGCGACCGGCCGCCGGGCGGCTGCGCGTCGACGACGCAGAGGAACTTCTTCGGACCGAAGCGCAGGAGGTCGATGCCGAGGAGCGGCGCGTCCGCGCGGTCCAGGGCCGGGTACCAGAGGCTGTTGAAGACCTGGAGGCTGTGGCCGCCGTCGAAGTAGGTCATGCGCACGCGGCGGAACGCGCCGGGCACCGAGAAGACGCGGCTCCCGACGCGCGCCGCGAGGCCGTCGGTCTTCGCCTTGGCCTTCGTCGCGTAGCCGAGCTCCGGCGTGAGCGCGCCGTGCTCCTCGACGGCGCCGAGCTTGTCCAGGAGTGCGAGCTGGTGCTCGAGGAACGGCATGTAGAGCAGCTCGGCGTCTTCCTCGACGCTCGTCGACCAGCCGGGCCAGCGCTCGTCGGTCGCGGCGGTTTCGGCGGCGGCGACGGTCGCGCGAGGCGCTGCGCGCGGTCGACAGCGGTGCCGCGGCGCCTGAAGCGCTGCGCTGGCGGCAAAGAGGGTGCATAGGAGGTGCCGCCTCGCCATGGCGCGTGGCCGCCTCGAGGAGCTCTCCATCGCTTGCGAGAGCGAAATCCGGCTCGAGCAATCTCGAGCGTGTGGCGGCGACGCGGCATGGTCCGGCGTCAAGGCGATCGAGGCGGCCCCGCGGCGCGCGCGCGAGAGAGGGCCGCGCAGACGACGCGCCCGAAGCTGCCGCCGAGGCCGTCCCAGTCGCGCGCGACGCCAAAAAAGCCGAAACGCGACGCCCCCTTTCTTCTGCGCAGGTGGTCGCCATGGCGTCGTACAGCGTGCAGCCGCGGCTCGACTACCGGACCATCGAGGGCGTCAACGGCCCGCTGGTGATCCTGGAGAACGTGAAGATGCCCAAGTTCGCGGAGATCGTGCACCTGACCCTCGGGTCCGGCGAGAAGCGGAGCGGCCAGGTGCTCGAGGTCAGCGGGTCGCGCGCGGTTGTCCAGGTCTTCGAGGGCACGTCGGACATCGACAACCGGCACACGCACTGCGAGTTCACGGGCGACGTGCTCAAGATGCCCATCAGCGAGGAGATGCTCGGGCGGTCCTTCAACGGGTCCGGCAAGGTCATCGACAACGCGCCGGCGGTGCTCGCCGAGGACTACCTCGACATCAACGGCACGCCCATCAACCCGAGCTGCCGCGACTACCCCAAGGCCATGATCCAGACGGGCATCTCCGCCATCGACGTCATGAACTCCATCGCGCGCGGCCAGAAGATCCCGCTCTTCTCCGCCGCGGGGTTGCCGCACAACGAGGTCGCGGCGCAGATCGCGCGCCAGGCGTCGCTCGTCCAGCTCAAGGACACCATGGACGGCCACGAGGAGAACTTCGCGCTCTGCTTCGGCGCCATGGGCGTCAACATGGAGACCGCGCGCTTCTTCCGCAACGACTTCGAGGAGAGCGGCGCGATGCAGCGGACCGTGCTCTTCCTCAACCTGGCCAACGACCCGACCATCGAGCGCATCATCACGCCGCGCCTGGCGCTGACGACGGCGGAGTATTTGGCCTACGAGAAGGACCTCCACGTGCTGACGATCCTCACGGACATGTCGTCGTACGCGGACGCGCTCCGCGAGGTCTCGGCCGCGCGCGAGGAGGTGCCCGGCCGCCGCGGCTACCCCGGCTACATGTACACGGACCTGTCGACCATCTACGAGCGCGCGGGGCGCGTCGACGGCCGCAACGGCTCCATCACGCAGCTCCCGATCCTCACGATGCCGAACGACGACATCACGCACCCGATCCCCGACCTCACGGGCTACATCACCGAGGGCCAGATCTACCTGGACCGCCAGATGCACAACAAGGAGATCTTCCCGCCCATCAACGTGCTCCCGTCGCTGAGCCGCCTCATGAAGAGCGCCATCGGCGAGGGCATGACGCGCGACGACCACGGCGCGGTGTCGAACCAGCTCTACGCGTCCTACGCCATGGGCCGCGACGTGTTGGCCATGAAGGCCGTCGTCGGCGAGGAGGCGCTGAGCCTCGACGACCACCTCTACCTCGCGTTCCTCGACCGCTTCGAGGGCAAGTTCGTCGCGCAGGGGCCCTACCAGAACCGCACGATCTTCGAGTCGTTGGACCTCGCCTGGTCCCTGCTGCGCGCCTTCCCCAAGGAGCTCCTCAAGAAGATCCCCAAGAAGACGCTCGCGGAGCACTACGCGCGCAAGGCCGCGACGCAGCCGCCGAAGGGCGCCGAGGAGAAGAAGGACTAGCCGCCCGGAAACCGAACCACGCCCCACGCCCCCTCGACGCCGCGGCCGGTGGCGCGCCGCGGCGTCCGTTTAGAACTCACGTCGATCTCGCCTTGGCTGGGCCGCGGGGGGGGCGTCAAGTCGCGCGTCGAACTCGTCGAGCTTTCTGATTGGTGGAATTGCAACAGCCTGGCACAGGGTGGTGCTCGACTCCACACGCGCTCCAGTCATCGATGGGGCTCCGCAGCGCAGCGCTGGTCGCCGCGCTGCCCTGGGCCGCGGCGGCGTCCTACGAGACCAAGTGGCACACCCAGTCCCTCACCCACGCCAAGGGCGACGACCGCACGTACCAGCAGCGCTACCTCGTCAACGACACCTTCTGGGGCAAGGGCTCGGCGCCCCTCTGGCGCGACGACGACAGCTGCCCGGGTCCCGTCCTTTTTTACTCGGGCAACGAGGGCCCCGTCGACGGGTTCTGGCCGGCGAACGGCTTCATGACCGACTACCTGGCGCCCAAGTGGGGCGCGTACGTGCTCATGGCCGAGGCGCGCTACTACGGCGCCTCGCTCCCGTTCGGCAACGCGTCCTGGACGCCGGAGAACGTGCAGTACCTCTCGACGGAGCTTATTTTAGCGGACTACGCCAGGTTGCTCACAGAGCTCAAGTCCTCCCTACAAGGCTGCCCCGTCGTCAGCTTCGGCGGGTCCTACGGCGGCACCTTGACGACCTTCTTCCGCCTGACGTACCCGGACGTCGTCGTCGGCGGCCTCGCGGCGTCGGCGCCGATCGGGTACTACGATCCGGCGCACTGGAAGGACCACGGCGTCGACGCCTACACCTTCAGCGACATCATCGCGCGCGACTACGACGACGCGGCGCCGGGCTGCCTGGACGCCATCAGGGCGACGACGGACGCGTTGAACGCCGCGTCGCCGGAGGCGCTCGTCGACCTTTTTCATCTTTGCGACGCGGCGGCGCTGGGCCCGACGCGCGCGGCGCTCTGGCAGTACGCGCTCGAGTCGCTGCCGCAGCTCGACTACCCGCGCGCGGTAGGGTCCATCCCGGCCTGGCCCGTGAACCACACGTGCCATCTGCTGGCCCGCGCGTCGACGGCCGCGGCGCGGCTACGCGTCGCGGCCGAGGTCCAGGCCATGGTCCTGGGCACGGGCGGCGAAACGTGCTTCCCCGCGCTCGTCGAGGGCCCCGGCGGCGTGCCCGGCGACGGGCCGGGCCCGGACTCGTGGGGCTACCAGTCGTGCACGGAGAACTTGCACGAATTTTCCTCGAAATCCAAGGTGCGCGACTACACCTTCGACTTCGAGGCGCAGGCGTCGCTCTGCGGGTCCCTGTTCGACGACACGACGCCCGACCCTCGTCGGCTCACGGCGCTCTACGGCGGCTACGAGATCCCGGCCAAGGTCACGAACGTCATCTTTTCCAACGGCCTGCTCGACCCCTGGCACGGCGGCGGGTTCTACCCCTCGGACAATGCGGACGCATCGAACGTCTTCTGCGTCATGCCCAAGGGCGCGCACCACGGCGACCTGCGAAAGCCCGAGGCCGACGACCCGGCCGACATCAAAGCGTGCCGCGCGCTCGAGGAGGCGACCATCGGCGGCTGGCTCGCGGCGGCCGTCGCAGGATCGGCCTAAGCTTTAGGCGGGCCGGCGGCGCGCGCGGGGGCGCTCAGGGCGACAGCGCCATGCCCTCGTCGGCCTCGTACTCGCTCTCGTCGGAGTCGTCCTCGTCGTCGCTCCGCCGCGGCGTCCACTCCGACGCGCGCGACTCGGCGCTCAGGCGGCCCTCGGCGTAGCTCGTCACGTAGCGCGGCGGCGCGGGCGTCGTCTCGTCGGCCGGCGCCCGGAGGATCTTGATCGACGTCCGCGGGTGCTCGGTCGCGGCATCGATGGCCGCCTGCTGCCGGTGAAACATGCCGAAGGACTCGCGGCACAGCTTGCCGTCGTCCACGGGCGACGCCGCGACGGACGAGGCCGCGTCCCCGCCCTCATCTTTGTCGTCCTCGCCGTCGTCGTCGTCGTCGTCGTCGTCGCCGAGCGACGCGCCCGAGTCGCGCGCCGACGGCGTCCAGCGCGACGCCGGCGCCTTGGGCTCGCGCAAAGCCGTGCCCGGCGTCAGCGGCGGATCCTCGTAGCGCACGGGGTGCTTCCGCAGGTACGTGCCGGGGGACACGAGCTTGGCGCCGCCGAAGGACGCCGCGCCGAAGGCGTTCGCGAGGCTGTCGACGTTCTCCTTGTCCGTCGCGCGCTCGACGACGCCCTCCGAGAAGCGCAAGCCCTTCTTCTGCTGCTTCTTCTCCTCCGGGCGCGGCGAGATGTCCATGACGGCGGCGCGGCAACGACGGTGATCAGGTGGCGGCGCGGCGCGGCGGCCTCGACGTTGGTGGGCGGCGGCTCGGTGCACTTGCGTCCTGATTGGCTGGAGGCCGCCACTCGACATCGGCGGCGGCCTGCGCAGCTCGTTCTCGGCGGCGTCGACACCGATTCGGGTGCGGTTTTCGGCGGCCCCGCGGCGCATCAGTCCTAGGAGGTCGGCCAAAGCTTATTTGTTACCGAGCGACGCGCGCGCGCGGCCACCGCGGCCGCGCCAGGTGCTCGGATTTGATGATTTCGAGTCGATTCGGGGTCATCGAGTCGCCCGAGGCAGCTTTGCCCGTCCCTTGGTCGTTTTAGGACGCTCAGTACATAGACCGAGCTGACCGGACCGCCAGACGACCATCGGGGCTGTTTTCGAGTCCACGGCTGCGCGTTCGAGGCTTCCCGAGCGAAACGCCGACACGCTCTCGAACGCTGTAAAAACGCCGACGGAGCCCGCGACGCGGGACCACTTGTGCAGTGCGACGATGGGCTTACCATGGGTCACGTTCGCCGCCTCTGTGGCGTCTGACATTCCCGAACTCGCGCAAAACCTTGGATCCATGGGCTATAACTCGCAAATCGACCACTTTTGAGCCGATTCCGGACGCGCGCGACCGCATCGAGCGCCGACTTTTGCGCGTGGTTGTCGTCGCAACATGTCCGGGGCGCGCACGAAGAAGAACGGCTGGAATCCATGCCATAGCGGCTGCAAAAGGTCTCGAAATCAGCTCACATGCTCTCTGAGGCGCTCGGAGAGCGTCGGAGCTGTTTCGCCGGGCTAATTTTGTCAAATCTGAGCACCAGTCGCTCCCAGCCCTCGGCAGCGAGGAGGGCGCCCCACGGGGCCACCAGGGCGCTGTTAGGTAGCCACAAGGGAGCCCTCTCGCGTCCGGGCTCGCGCGGGGCGTGGGTGTTCGGTAGTCGATGGCTGGGAGCGCGGCGGCGATGGGTCGATTTCTGGACGTGGTGGGCTCGAAAAAGGCCGGTTTGGGGGCGAGGAGTCGAACGCAGGGCGCCCACGACGCTGCACTCGACGGGCATCGCGTTCGGAGCTCGACGCGCGGTCGTAGTCGTCGCGACGCGCGCGCGAATGCTGAGCCTGGCACCAGGGCGATATCGGCGCTTTTGGGCCCATGCCGTCGAGGCCATGAAGGCGTCGCAGTAACGTGTCTGACACCTTGGCCGAGTCGTAGGGGTCCGCGCGCCAGCCGCTGTAGCTCGTACAGCCTCGGAGAAGCCTCTCTCGACGTACACAAGCGCGTCTCGATACAGCGTTCGCGCCAGCGCGCCGAGGTCGCGAGCGCGTGCGAAAACCGGTTCCCGGGTCCGTCCAACGGTCCACGCAGTTCCGTCCACACATAAACCAAGCAGCGATGACCAAGGGACGGGCAAGGTAGCCTCTGGTCGCGCTGTGACCCCGTGGACCATCGCCATCGACCGCCGTCGCAGCCTGTGCCAGCCGATTTTCGCGCGCGCGCGGCGGCGCGCGTCAAACCAAGTCGATGGACCATCGCGTAGGGTGTGTGTGACGAACAGCATGGCTTTGAAGCGACCAAATCGGTGCGGAAGTCGCTGAGTTCTGGTGCGCCCATCGGCCGATGTCTAGTGGCAGTGGCGAGGCGCAAGTGGGTGGTCGAGAATCAACGTGACGCCGGGACGCGTCCAACGCCTCCTGCCGATTACGTCCGCAACGCGGCCACCAGCCCCCAGGTGCCGCCGACGGTCCCCACGAAGAGGAGCCCCGCGCAGAGCAGGTCGTCCTTCTTGTGGCGGTCCTCGCGCCGCTTGAGCTTGAGGAAGAACGCCGCGGGGAGCACGAAGCCGATGGCCGCGAAGGACACGGCGCCCGTGAGCGCGACCATGCGGCGCATGTCCGGCACGGCGCGCGCGAGGCCCGACACGAGCGCCACGAGGAGCACGCGCGTCAGCGGCCAGCACTTGCGGGGCACGAACGGCGCCAGGTTCGCCTCCGCGATCTCGTGCACGGGCTGCATCTGGAGCACGAACGAGAACGCCAACACGACGGCGAGCGCGTCCTGGGCCGACGCCCGCAGCCCGTTTTCTGGTAATGAATACAAGATGACCTCCTGGACCTGGTAGCCCCAGGACGCGATGGAACAGGCGGCGACGGCGACGTAGACCGCGAACGTCGCGACGTACGTCCGCGTCAGCACGCTCGAGAACGCCTTCCGCGCGTCCGCGGCCGCCGCGCCGCCGACGCCCGGCGGCACCATGGCGTCGTGGATGGAGATGGCCGTGCCGATGCCCTCGAAGCAGTAGAGCGCCGGGCCGAAGAACGCGCCGAGCCCCGCGGGCCGCGCGAAGAGGAGCGCGAAGCGGCCCAGACCGCCGTCGTCGTCGTCGTCCGCGGCCGTCGAGTAGAAGAAGACGAGGCCCAAGACATACGCATACACGACCAGCGCCGCCGCCGAGAACCAGGCGATGGACCGGAAGGACCGCAGCAGGCTCAGGAGCGCGAGGCACGACGTCGCGGCGACGAACGCCGGCGCGGCCCCCAGGCCCCAGGCCTCGAGCGTCGCCACCACGTAATCGCAGTAGCTCGCCGAGACGCCGACCTGGGCCGCGCCCAGGAGCAGGAGCGTCGCCGCCTTCCCGCGGCGGCCGAACGCGCCGAAGCTCACGAACTCCCACGTGCTCTCGCGCTCCGCCAGCAGCTTGCCGCCGTCGTCGCGGCGCCGGCCCGCGCCATTTCCCACGAGCTTGTCCAGCTCCGGGTCGCCGAGCTCCCGCAGGCCGTAGGCGCAGCGCGTCACGAGGGCGATGCCCGCCATCGTCAGCCAGGCGAGGCCGAAGAGGCCCACGACCGACGCGACCAGACCGAACTGGGCGCAGGCCCAGGGCAGCGTCAGCACGCCCGACCCGATCATCGTCTTCAGCATGTTCGCCAACGCGAGGCGCTCGCTGAGGCCCGGCGCCTCCATCGTTGCAGGCGATGCTACGCGGGCTGCCTCATTGCATCACGCGCGCGAGAAAGACAAGGTAAAGATGCTTAGATCAACTGTCAAGCTGAAGGCTCGCTGAACAATCTCCACAGGCAAAGCGGGCGCATCGAGAGGCGTGGAACCGCGGCGCCGCTTGCGTCGGCTGCGTCGAAGCCGAAGCCTGCACGCTCGAGCACCGTCGCAGCGCTCGTCAACTCGCTGACGAGACCCGTCGCAGCGCTCGCCACCACACATGGCGTCGCAGGCCCTCGCCGCCTGCGCGCCGCCGGCGGCCTGCAGCATCTACGACGCCGACGCCGCGAGCGCCTGCGTCATGTGGAGCCCGTCGGCCGGCGCGGCGTCCTACGCCGTCGAGATGCGCGCCGCGGGCGACGAGGCCTGGACGACGCTGTCGACGACGCTCAAGGCCTGCAAGTGCCGGAAGAAGGGCCTCGACGCCTCGCGGGCCTACGAGTTCCGCGTCGCGGCCGTCGACGCGGCGGGCGCCGTCGGCGAGTTCTCCGGCATCGCCAAGGTCGCGAGCCGCGCGGACGTGGCGCAGCAGCCCGCGCCCGTCGTGAGCGCCGTCGACGGCGAGTCCGTGACCGTGCAGTGGAGCGGCGGCGAGGGGCCCTACGCGCTGCAGTTCGCCGCCGAGGAGGACCTGCGCGCGGACGCGACGACGCCCTGGCGGCTCGCGGCCGCGTCCGTCAACGGCACGGTGGCCAAGAAGAAGAATCTCGACGGCGGCAAGCGCTACGCGTTCCGCGTCAAGCCCGCGGACGCGTCCGGCTACGAGTGGTCGCGCGCGTCGGAGACGGCGCTGATCCCGCGCGCGGCGCCCTTCATGGCGCGCTGCTTCGGGACGGACCTCGTCAACAGGAGCGGCGGGACGAAGACGACGGGCCCGTCGCTCGCGGGCAAGATCGTCGCCGTCTACGCGTCGGCGAACTGGTGACCCCCGTGCCGCAACTTCTCGCCGAACCTCGTGCGCGACTACAACGTGCTCAAGGCGGCGGGGAGGCCCTTCGAGGTCGTCTGGCTGTCCTGCGAGCGGGACCCGGAGGCCTTCTCGAGCACCTTCGCCCAGTTCCCCTTCCTCGCCGTGCCCTTCGACAACGACGAGCGCGAGCGGGCCCTCGGCAACTTCAACGTCTCGGGCATCCCGCGCCTCGTCATCCTCGGGCCCGACGGCCGCGAGCTCGTCAACAACGCCGTCGGCATGAGCCTGTCCATCGCGACGGTCGACGGCTGGATGCGCCAGGCCAAGGGGCACAAGTAGGCGCCGCCGTCCCCGCGCCGGACCCGCGCCATGACCCCGCGCGCCGCGAATCCCCAACGGGGACGCGCGGCGCGCGGGCGAGACTCGCGCTTCCGGCCGGCGGACGACGGACCTAATTTTTTACCACGCCGTTCCGCGCGCGCCTGTCCACTGGTTGCCCTCGTCCTCGGACCACTCCGTGTCGAGGCCGAGGGACTTGAGGCGCTTCTCCTGGTAGTACTCCTTGCCCGCGAGCATGCTGAGGTCCGCGGCGACCCAGTTGAGCGTCGCGTCGAGCGCGTCGAGCTCCGTCCGCCGGAGCGCCTCGAAGCGCGCGTCGCCGGCCGCGGGCCCCGCGTCGAGGAGCGTCCGCTGGAGCGCGTCCGCCTCGGCCCGGACGGCCTCGAGCGCGGCCCGCTCGTTGTCCGGCGAGATGGGCGCCGCGAGGAAGTCCCAGAGCTCGTTGGCGAAGATGGGCTCGAGGAGGAACGCGTCGCCGCCGACGAGCGCGGAGAGCCGGAGGAACCGGAGCACCTCGAGGTCGGGCTCGCCGCCGACGCAGCACTCGAAGAAGCCGCTCTCGGCGTCGTCGCCGTCGATGGCGCCGTTCTCGTAGAGCACGGTCAGCTTGTCGTCGATGAAGCGGTCCTCCGCGTCCAGCTCGAAGCGCAGGTCCGCCGTCGCCGCGAACCGCCGCGCGGCGCCGCGCGCGGGCAGGAAGCCGTAGCGCTCGAGGTACTCGGACGCGGGCAGCGGGCCGTAGGAGCCCACGACCTTGTCGCCGGCCCTGCCGTCGGCCGCGGCCTTGAGCACGACGCTCTTGCCCCGGCCGAACTGCTTCTTCGCGCTGCACGCCGCCATCTCGTCGAAGGGATCGAGCAGGTCGTCGTGGTCCACGAGGTCCGCGCCGGGCACGAGGCACAGGCCGTCGTCCCCGACCTCGACGGCCCGCGACACGACCCAGCCCACGGCCACGAGCCAGTCGTCGAGGGACACGTCGGCGTCGCCGAACGCGCCGAAGCCCGCGAGCCACTCGAAGTCGTCGGCCGCGTTCTCCCGGAGCGCCTCGAAGGCCCGGCCGCTGCAGACGGGCAGGTCGCCCGCCTCCAGCAGGGGCAGCGGCAACGTTTTCGGGAAGCTCGCGACCCAGGCGCCGTCCGCGGCCGTCAGCGCGCCGAGCGCGAGCAGCGACGCGTCGCCGCACCACGGCTCGAAGGCCTCCTCGGCCGCGGCCTCGGCCGCCGCGAGGCCCGGCGACGCGAGCACGCTCTCGGCGCTGACGCAGCGCTCGAAGGGCACCTCGAGGAGCACGTCGCCGGCGCGCACGCCCTTCTCCAGGACCAGGCCCAGCTCGCCGTCGCCGACCTCGTCGACGCGCACCTTGTCGAAGCTCGTCGCGATGGACCCGAGGTAGGCCTGCAGCGGCGCCGCCGGCCGCAAGGCCTGTGTTGCGCGTGCGCAGAGGACGAGCAGCGCGAGCGCACGGCGCGGTGGCCGTCGTCGATCGTGGCCCGGACACATCATTGCCATGCGGATCGGCCAAGCTCGCAAAGTTGCATCGATGATGAAGCCGGCCTTGCCGTCGAGGCGCTCGGCGTCGGCGCAGCTAGCGCTGTGCTCGAGCCTCCCCGTCTGACCCGTAGATGCGGCGCGGCGACAAGGTTGCCGCGCCGAACATACGGCAGGTTCCCGACCCAGACGACCGCGCGGCGCGCCTCGTCGCGGCCGCCCCCGAGTCCCCGCGGCGCGAGGATTTTTAGAAGCACACAACATGATTATTACAGTACGAGCGGCGACGCCGAGATGCCGGCCTAGTAGTCCGAGTCCGAGTCCGAGTCCGCCGTGCGCGTGCCCCAGCGGTGCGCGTCGGACGCGTTGAAGAGGACGTGCCGCGCAGAGCCGTGGAAGCAGCGGCGCCGCTCGTCCCTCGGCGTCGGCGTCGGCGAGCTCGACGGGCTGTGCGACGGCGAGTGGAGGCTCGACATCTTGTCCATCATACTTTGCATCATCGCCTCGCGGGCAGCCTCCGCCACGAGCTTTTCGTGGTTCTGTTCGATGAAGAGGGTGCGCGCCGTCTTCTGCTGCTGCGTCGAGCGGAGCATGGCGTTGCGGCGGGGCATGGTGTTGGAAGACATGATGATGGTCGAAGTTGTGATGTTGTGTTTGGTTTGCTTTGGTTTTGAGACATGCTCTCTCGTAGCTCCAGTGGTGGCACAGGAAAGCTGGGAATTGGGCTGCGCTAAAGTTGAGGACGTTTCATGTTCAATCACCTCAGCATCCCACGCCGCGCCGCGCCGCGCCGTCACGACCAGGATGCCGATGGGCTGCCGGTCGCCGCGGTCGCCGCGTCGCCGGTGGCCGCCGCAGCGCATCGGTCGAACGCGCGCGCGGCCGCGCAACGACGACAGAAGCGACGAGTTCCTCCAGCAGTCCTACGCCAGCGAATTCTACGACGTGCCCGCCTCCGCGGCGACCGCCGCGCCGCCGATGGACGCGACGAGCGCCATCGAGATGAGGTGGGAGAACATGATGCTCAAGGTGCTGCTCACGGCCACGCGCGCGGGGGACGCGCCGCGGACCGAGCCCGCCTTCGAGGCATCGCCGGGCCGCCTCCTCGAGGACCGCGTCTACCGCCGGCCGCGCGGGCGGCTCGTCTACCACCTCGGCCGCTTCCGCCGCGTGGAGGACGTCCCGGAGTATTAAGAGCCGCAGGTCTTGCCGTCCACGCAGCAGCCGAGGACGACGTCGACGTAGGCCGAGGACGCGTTCGACAGGCCGGGGTTGTCCCAAAGGTGATTGCCGTAGAACTCGGCGCCCTCCGTGCACGACGCCTCCTTGAACCAGCGCACGTCGTCCTGTAAAAACGCCTTGCCCGCGTAGTAGACGCCCGTCGTCGACACGACGAAGCCGAAGGCGACGTTCAGGAACGCCCAGGCGAGGGACGCGGCGGTCGCCTCGTCCCAGAAGATCTTCGTGTGGAGCACGTAGGGCATCCAGTACGTGGGCGCCGCGAGGCCGAGCGCGCCCGCGATGTTCGTCATCGACCCCAGGCCCGCGCCGATGAGCGCGGACGCGATCAGGTACATGGCGCCGACGTAGGACGCGCGGAAGACGGCGCGCACGACCACCGGCGGCGCGGCGGCGACGCGCGTCCGGAAGGCCGACGCGCCGGCGTCCGCCACCTTTTGCCGGCGCGAGTTCGTCCAGACGTCCGTCGGCAGCACGTCGAGTTCGACCTCCAGGTTGAGGAAGAGCACGACCTGGCCGACGACGACGAGCGGGAACGTCGTGAACAGCGTGAACCAGAGGTAGACCTTCACCGCGACGCCGTCCCTTAGATTCTCCAGCGGGTTCGCCGCCGCCGCGTTCCCAAAGGCCCAGAAGCCGAGCGCCGCCGTGCCGAAGTAGAAGGGGATCACGAAGAGGTACATGTAGTTGAAGGCCTCGTGGAAGCGCTCCGGCTCGCGCATCTCGCGGATCTGCTCCGGGAAGACGCCGTGCCCCCCGAACGTGAACGCCATGTTCGACAGCGCGGCTAACGCCGAGCCCGTCGTGACCTTGTCGTAGCAGGGCAGCTCCGGCGCCGCGTCGTAGGTCCCGTAGGCGCCGATCTGCGCGAAGAAGATCAACAGGCCCAGCACCTGCGCGCCGACGACGGCGAACGAGAGCGGCGCGGCCTCCTTGAACGACGGCACCATGACGCAGGGCAGGAGCATGAGCGTCGTCACGAGCATCCAGCCCTGCGTGCAGAGCGCGTCCTGGAGCGGCGTGCCCCGCAGCGTCTGCTGGTACGTCGCGCCCGAGTAGGCGATCTGGACGACGCCCGTCAGGAAGTAGCCGAGCCACTGCGCGGCCACGACCGTCCGCCGGCCGGCGAGCCCGAAGGCCGCCTCGCCCATCTCCGGGTAGGAGTCGGCGTGCTTGCGCACGCAGATCGCGCCGATGAGGCGCCCGGAGCAGTACGTGGACACGGTACTCGCGGCCAGCGCGCCGAGGCCCTTGGCCCAGCCCATCTGCCCGACGGCGTAGGGCAGCTGCTGCGCGCCGAACATGACCGCGAGGCCGTTGACCACCGTCGTCCAGACGCTCGCGCGCCGGAGCACGGACGCGTCGCCGGACGACTCGACGTCGTCGCCGTTGAGCGCCGCGTAGTCGCCGTCGCCGCTCTTGCGGGCGATGGCCGCGTCGACGCTCTCGCGCGCCGAGCCCTCGCTGAGCCGCGACGCGCAGGACGCGAGGTGGGACATGGGCTTTGCTGTGCGCGCTGCCGGAGTCGCGGAGCGCTCGCGGTGGCCTTCGAACGCCCAATGGGCAGCCCTGAGAGCGACGGCAATGTTCAAGGCATCACCCTTCAACATTGACAGCTTGAAGCCTGCTATGGGAGCGCGCGCAGTGTAGCGTGCCAAGCTCGCAGTGTGGCCGCTAGACCACTTACACATGGCCGCAGTGATCGACAGCGACGAGATCGAGCGCGACGACGATGACAGATTACGCAACATGGCCGCAGTGATCGACAGCGACGAGATCGAGCGCGACGACGATGAAAGATTACGCAATGCGCCGCAGCGGCGCGCGCCCTGGGCGCCGTCGCCGGCGACGGACCCGCGCAACGCGACGATCTCGGCGCGCGCGCTCGTCAAGGCGCGGGGCACCGTCGAGGACCTCTGCCGCTCCTACTTCCCCATCATCGGTCTGCCCGTGGACGACATCCTCTGCTTCGCGGACAGCGTCTATTTCGTCGCCGCGTCGCTCTACGAGATCGACGAGCTGAACGAGGATGGACAAATGCAGCTCGCCGCGGCGCCGCGCGCCGCGCTCGAGCAATTCTTAGAGGGCCGCGGCCTGCTGTCGCCGCGCGTGCGGCGATCGCTGGCGCGCGGCGACGAGTACTGGCGCCTCGAGCGCGAGCTCGTCGCCGCGTGGCGCGAGCCTCCGGGCGACGACTACGACGAGAATAGGCTGTTGGGCGCCGCAATGCGCGCGTCGTCCTTGAAGAGCTTCGACTACGAAGTTCTGACGCTCATCGTACTCCATCTCACGAACAAGCCATGCGACGACGCGCTTCTGGACTTTTTGAACTTTTGCTTCCACCTCGTCGAGATCGAGGACGACCTCAAGGATTACGCGGACGACTGCGCGAAGAACTCCTTCAACTTGTACCGGGCCTTCGTCCGAAGATGGGGCCCCGACGCGCCGATCAAAATCCAAACCGAGGTTATCTGCTACATCGAGCATGATTACCTCGAAAAGCGCGCCGCGTCGCTTTCCGAGGAGACGCTCCGCTTCCACCTCGCGCGAAACGAGCAGCAGGGCGGTGCGGGTCCCGCGATGGCTCCAGGATCAGGTGAGTGGAACATCCCGCCGCCGCTCGCGCCGCTCCGACGGCAAGAGAATGAGCACTGCTGCCCTTAGCCCACAGGCCGCAAGGCTACCTCAGATTAAAGCTCCCCAGGGACGAGGACACGCCGAGCGCGGGGAAGAGCGCCTGGCCGCGGAGCGGGCTCTTGCGGAGCGGGCTCGGCGGGAGGTCCGTCGGGTCGCCCGGGGACGTGGCCTGCGGGAGGAGGGGCAGCCGGAGGTTCGTGCGCTGCGTGAGGATGCGCGTGCGCCGCCAGGAGGCGCGGACCTTCCAGTTGCGCCGGAGGCGGCCGAGCACGCGCGCGCCGACGAGCGAGTAGTTGATGGGCTCCATGACGTACAAATCGAGCGGCGTCGACGCGACGCACGCGACGGACTCGACGTGGGGCGGCGCGCCCGACTGGGCGCCGTGGGAGAGGATGCCCGACTCGCCAAAGTACTCGCCCTTGTTGATCGTGTTCACCTCGATGCCCGCGGCGAAGACCGTGACCGTGCCGCCCCGCAAGAAGTAGAGCGTCTTCGCCGTCTCGCCCTCGCGCAGGAGCGTCTTGCCCCGGGGCGCGTGGACCTCCTTGAGGGCGTAGGCGACGTGGTAGAGCTGCTCCTGGCCGACGCCGTCCATGAGGCCCATGTCCTTGAGGAGCGCGTACTTCTCCTCGACGTCGGACACGCAGCCCGCGTCGACCTGGCCCCGGATGGAGTAGTAGTCCATGTAGCCAAAGACCAAAAGCACGCAGTCCGTCAACGCGACGGCGTTGTGGCGGTAGAAGACGCGCCGCGCGTCCGCGGGCTCGTCGAGCGACTCGAGCCCGAGCGTCGACCCCGGCGTCGCCTTCTCGACGAAGTCGCCCTGGATCTGCCAGAAGGTCGCCCGCTTCGGCAGCGGCGCGCCGCCGGCGCCGGGCGTGTCCTCGACCTCGTCGGGCACCTGCTGCGTGCCCTGGTCGCCGTTGAGGACCGTGACGGTGCCTCGCACGACGACGTAGCACCGCGTCGCGCGCTCCGAACTATCGTAGATGACGTCGCCCTGGTCGACCTGCTCCACGCGGACGTGGTGCCCAAAGTCGATCTTCGCCGCGTGGGGCCAGTCGTGGCAGTAGACCGTGGAGAACGTCTTGCACTGGCTCAGCACGCCCACCACGAGACTGAGCTCCGGGAGCGTCCGCGCGAGCAGCGGCTTCTTCCGGATCTTGTCCAGGGCCGCGCGCAGGCGCCGGTGGAAGCCGCCGCGGTCCGGGCAGCTCAAAAACGCCTGGGCCGAGATGGCGCCGTACTCGGACGTGAGGTGCGGCGCGCGGCAGAGCTGCTGGAACATGCGCGCGACGAGCGAGTCCCGGAGGGACCTGGGCAGCACAAGGGTGATTCAACGTCGCTTCAACGCGAGTGTGCCGCGCGAGCGCGTTCCGGAAAAAGCATCCACGCTGCGAGACCGTTCCGAGAGATGATCGCCCGTCCAAAAATCAGCCGAAACGAGTGGAAAACGGCCGAGATATGAGCCTTTGAAGTTGGGAATTTCGCTCTCTTGTGCTGCCCTGGGAGGGACGTCATGAGGCCCCGGAACGCGATGCGCATGAGGCGCTTCTTGAAGCTGATGCCCGCGCGCGTCGACGTCATGCGGCCCAGCGGCCGGTCCGCGTTCCCCGAGAAGCAGCCCTCCGCGGACATTTTGGCGAAGTAGCGCCGCCGCCGCAGCTCCTCGCCCATGGCCGCGTTGTGCGTGCCCTGGAAGACGTCCCGGTCCAAGGAGAAGCACACGGTCTGGGTGATGGTCACGACGTTCGCCGTGCGCATGTGGTCCTGGCTCAGCATCGCGACCTCGCCGAAGTAGTCGTGGTCGCCGAGCTCGCCCACGGGCCGCTCGCCGCAGGGGTGGTCCGGGTCGTTCTTCGTGACCTTGACGATGCCCTCGAGGATCACGTAGAACGCCTTGCCCTCGCGGCCCTGCTGGACGATGTAGGTCCCCGGCTGGTACTTGACGATCTTCATCGCCGACACGACGTCGCGGACGACCATCTCCGGCAGCGACGCGAAGAGCCCGAGGCCGCTGAGCACCTCCCAGGCCCGCCGCTCCTTGAGGTTCGAGTTCGCCGATCGCAGCGTGTCGCTGCCGGCGAAGAGGCGCTGGAAGTCCCCGCGGACCATCTTCAGCAGCTCGAGCGGCCCGTCGGCGTCCGGGTCCGCGACGATGGACGCGGACCGCGGCTCGTCCGTGAGCAGCGCGAGCTCGCCGAAGAACGCGTTCGCGCCGATCTTCGCCAGGACCTTGTCGGGCTGGTCGTCGCTGACGTGGAAGAGCACGAGCGCCCGGCCCGAGCTGATGATGAAGAACTCGTCGCCGATGTCGCCCTGGTTGATCACGGCCTCGCCGCACTCCTTCGTCACCTCGGCGAAGGCCTCCGCGGCCTTGGCGAGCTCCTCGTCGCTCATCTCCTTGAAGATGCTCACGTTCCGCAGGATGCCCACGCGCTTCTTGATCTGTTTCGCGAAGGTCTCGTTGTTCCGCTCCCGCGCGACGTCGCGGCTGCTCATGGACGTGAGCCGCTTCCGATCGATCACGGGGCCCTCCAGCGCGCGGATCTGCGACATGAGGTCCATCTCCGCGCCGCTGCCCGCGGCGCGGAGTGGGAGAGCAGCCCGGGCAGCGCCGAGCGCTCCAGCGGGGTTACACTTGGAGCAGGAGCAAGCGCAAACACGTTCGACGATGTTGCAGTGAGAGCTTGCGTCTTGCTGTGGCGAGAGCGTAGTCCCGGCGGGCGCCGCGCGACATGGTCCATGTGTGCCTCTACGTGCCGAACCTGATCGGCTATGCGCGCATCGTGCTGCTCTTCGTCTGCTATGCGGTCGCGCGCGCGCCGGCGTCCGCCTCGCCCCGCGCGCCGCGCCGCCCCACACCCCCCCCTGCGCCCCGCTTCCGACCCCCGCACCCCGCGCGCAGGCTCCGCGACTGGAAGCTGGCCGCATCCTGCTACATGCTGAGCTTCGCGGGCGACCTCTTCGACGGCTGGGCCGCGCGCAAGTTCGACCAGACGTCGCAGTTCGGCTACGTTTTGGACATGGTCACGGATCGCTGCGCGACGACGGGCCTCATCTCCATCCTCTGCGGCCTCTACCCGAAGTGGATCCCGTCGCTCCTCTTCTGCCAGATGCTGGACCTCGGGAGCCACTGGTACCACATGTACTCGACGTCCACGGAGCGCGGGCACCACAAGTCGAAGGAGGCGCTCGCGGAGCGCAACGTCGTCCTCCGCATGTACTACGGGTCCTACCCGCTCTTCGCGTACCTCTGCGTCGGCGCCGAGTTCTTCTGGATCGCGCTCTACGTGCTCCACTACGCGCCGGACTTTGGCGTCGGGCCCCTCAGGCTCGCGTTCGTCTGCCGCTACGGCTTCGCGCCGGCCATGGCGCTCAAGAGCGTCGTCAACCTCGCGCAGTTCGGCTCCGCGGCCGAGAACCTGGCCCTGCGCGACATGGAGAAGCAGGGCAAGAAACGCAACTAGTCGAATCGTATACTCTACCATGTCTCACCGGTCGTTAGGACGCCGCGTCCTCGCTCGCGTCCTCGAGCACGGACGTCGTCAGCTGGCCGCAGCCCGCGTCGATGTCGATGCCCCGGCGCACGCGCGGCGTCGCGGAGACGCCGAACTCGGCCTCGAGGGTCTTGCAGAAGCGGTCCACGGCGCCGTTCTTCGCGCGCTTGCCGCCGTAGCCCTTCGTCGGGTTCAGCGGGATGACGTTGACGTGCGCGTCGCGGATGCCGTGCTTCTTCAGGAGCGCGCCCAAGGTCCGCGCCGCGTCGACGTCGTCGTTCTCGCCCGCGATGGCCGCCCACTCGAAGGTCACGCGCCTTCTCGTCGCGGCCTGGTAGTCGCGGACGGCGCCCAGGAGCGTCTCGAGGTCGTAGCGGTCGTTGACGGGCATGATCGCGGACCGCGCCGCGTCCGTCGCCTGGTGCAGCGACACGGCGAGCGTCACCTGGAGCGGGTCCTCCGCGAGCTTGCCGATGCCCCGCGCGAGGCCCACGGTGCTGATGGTGATGTGGCGCGCGCCGACGCCCAGCTCGTCGTTGATGCGCCGCGCCGCGGCCATGACGTTCTTGTAGTTCGCCAGGGGCTCGCCCATGCCCATGAAGACGACGTTCGACAGCCGCTCGCCCCGGGCGCTCAGCTCCCGCGAGAACCGCGCGGCCTGCTCGAAGATCTCCGCCGCGGTGAGGTGGCGCGTCAGGCCCATCTGGCCCGTGGCGCAGAACGTGCAGCCCATGCCGCAGCCCGCCTGGCTCGAGATGCACGCGGTCCGCCGCCCGTCCTCGTAGGGCATGAGCACGGACTCGACGACGGACCCGTCGCGGAACTCGTACGCGCGCTTGATCGTGCCGTCGCGCTGCGACACCTGCTCGACGCGCAGCTTCGCGATCGTCCCGCCGACCGTCGCGCCGCGCGCCTTCAGGTCGTCGCGGAACTTCTTCGGCAAATTCGACATCGCGTCGAAGTCGTGGACGCCCTTGTCGTAGATCCACTCGTGGATCTGCTTCGCGCGGAACTTCGGGGCCTTGAGCTCCTCCGTCACGTACGCCTCGAGGGCCGGGCGGTCGAAGGCGCCCAGGTCGATGAGCCCCGGGAGCTCGGCCAAGCTCTGGCGGCGGAGCCGGCTCCTCCTCCGGCGGGCGGCGGCGGCGGCGTTGGGTCCCGCGCTGAGGCGACGCGACGCGGGCACCCAGGCCCTCGCGAGGCCGCCGAGGAGCATGAGGGACGCGAGGCGCATCGCTTTCAGGTGAAGAAGGACACACCCATCGCCTTCATCTGTCTGCTTGAAGTTGGTTTGCCTTCAACATCAAAGAGGACTCGTCTTGAGGCCCGCTAGCGGGTCGCCGTCGCGAGGCTTCCGCGGTCTCGCGAAGTGTTGACGAGTCGCTGCCACCCGCAGGCGAGGCCGATGAGGAGCGTGGGTGCCGCGATGATGCGCACGCGCAGGCGGCGCCGCGAGGCGAGAAGCCCGAGCCTTTGGCGGCGCTCTTTGACGAAAACAGCAGCTCCTGACACCAAACGCGGGACCTTCCTCCTGCCGTCGTCCAGCCGAAGGTCGTCCGTCGTCTTCAACTGGGTTCAATGTAGCTTCATGACAACCTCAACTAACGGCGTTGACTCGGATCGCCGCTAGAAGTCGGAGCAGCGCCCATCTGCGCCGCCGAAACACGCTGTGAAGTTCGACGTTGCAACGATGGTCAAGCTCGCTCTCACCCTCGGCCTTAGCCTCGCGTCGTCCGCCAATGGCGCGGCAAGCCACCTGCGTCGAAAACGAGGCAGAGAGCATCGGGTTGCAACGAAGCCGCTGAATAGAAGTCGATCGCCGACGCGCGCGCGCGCGCCGCGCGCCGCCTCCCACCAATCATGCTCCTAGGTCGGTCCCTCTGAGAACTTCAAGAGCGGCGCGTGCGTGCGCGACTACGACGGCACGTCGGACCTCTTCCCGAGCAAGAGCGAGTCGGGCATGCAATTCCGGTCGACCGTGAGCTCCGACTACTCGCTCTTCTGGGAGGTCTCCTACCACGGCCACTACAAGATCCTGCAGAACTCGAACTCGGGCGAGGTGCACGTGCTGCACCAGTGCGGCGTCGACGCGCCGGCCGCCGAGGACCTGCCGGACTACGCCGCGGACGCGACGTTCGTCCAGGTGCCCGTGTCGAACGTCGCGACGACGTCGACGACCTACATCCCCTTCATCGAGATGATCGGCGAGCGCGCGGCGCTCAAGGCCTACGGCTCGTCCTTCGACTACGTGTCGTCGCCGTGCCTGCGCAAGATGCACCGCGACGGCGCCGTCGTCAGCGCCTACGACTCGTCGACGTGGTCCGTGTCCGACGAGGTCCTCCAGGACGCGAACGTCGAGGTCACCATCGCCGACTCCTGGTCCAACAGCGCCTACGCGGCCTACACCATGACCGACATCGCCGAGGACTCGGTGCTCAAGGTCGCGGAGTACGTGGAGGTCGTCGGCCTCTTCTTCAACCGCGAGGCCGAGGCGACCGCGGCCATCGAGACCATGATCGCCAACTACGTCTGCGCCACGGACTCGGCCGCGGCCTACCTGGCCGAGCTCGGCGGCGACGCGGCCAAGCCCAAGGTCTGCTGGACGTCGTACTACGCCTACGCGAGCGACGCGTCCGGCGGCTGGACGATGGCCGCGTCGCCCGTCTGGTACAGCGAGCTCATCGAGGCCGCGGGCGGCGAGCTGCTCATGTACGACGGCGACGGCGACGTCGTGTCGTCCTGGGGCACGGCCTACATGTCCACGGACCAGGTCCTCGAGCTCTGCGCGGACGCGGACGTGATCATCTCGCCCGACGTCTGGACCAAGAGCGCCGAGCCCTTCACGCTCCTCGACGGCCTCCCGGCCGTCGTCAACGGCCGCGTCTTCGACAACCAGGGCCCCCGCGGCGCCACGGACTGGTTCGAGCGCCGCGTCGTCGAGCCCGATACGGTGCTCCAGGACATCCTCGCGGCGCTCTACCCGGAGTCCGACGAGTTCGGGTCTCTGGAGCGCAAGTGGCTCCGCGACGTCGAGGCCGACGAGGCCGTCGGGGGCGTCTCCGACGACGACCTCGACGCGGCGTGCCCGGACGTGACGGCCGACTACGTCTTCGAGGCCGCGACGATGTGCGACTCGTCGTCGTCGTCGTCGTCGTCGTCCAACAGCGACATCGTCCTCATCGTCATCGTCGCCGCGGCGATCCTCATCGCCCTCGTCGGCGCCGTCTTCTGCGCCGTCGTCTCCCGCAACTCCGCGCCCCCGCCGGGCGCCAAGGTCGTCGAGGCCAAGCCCGAGACCGAGGCCTAGACGCCGCTCGCCCCGCCTTCGCTCGCCGCGCGGCGCCGGCCGCCGGGCATCGCCAGCCCGCCGGCCGCCACCAGCGCCCCGCCACCGCCGCCGCCGCGCGCTCCCAGCAGATCGCGCGCGCCTCCTTCAGGCAATGTCTAAGAGTTGTTCTGTGCCCCGGCGCGGCCCTGCCAGGTGCGCTTGGGCACCCGCGACGGCTCGGCTCTTCTACGTGCGCATCCGCGCGGCGACCTCGAGCTCGGGTCGAGATTCAACCATTTGAAGACCGGGGGGCAACACCATTCAAACAAGATCTTATTGTCCGAGATGCTTTCGACCGAGGTTTCTTGGCCACCCGATTTTCTTTGCAGCACGTTTGTTTCACCATGATTATCAGCGGGTTCCGCTGATAGCCACACATATTAAAACTTCATGCAAAGAAAATCGCGGAGCCATTCGGACAAAAGCTCGTTCCAAAGTCGTGCTTGAATGGTGTTGCCCCCCCGTTCAAATCAAGAGTTGACTTCAAATGTCGAGGAGTTACTCACGCCGGGGCAGCATCCCACGCCGGAGGGCATGAGCTGAGTGGAACTGCTCTGAGGCCCGCGTGGCGTAGCGGGCGCGCGGGGCTCCCCTGCCGGGTGACGCGCTGCGACCGGCAGCTGCTGCTCGCCTCACATGAGGAGGCTTGCGCTCGAGCTTAGATAAGGACGATGGACCTGAGCGCCGAGGTCGCGCAGCTCGTCGACTTCGTGTCCGAGTCGCCGCTGAGCACGCGGGACCCGTCGTTCAACGAGAGCGACGCCGCGGCGCCCGGGGCCGACGAGATCGCCGCGGCCTTCAACGGCGACGACGACGTGAGCTTGATGATCACGGAAATTTACGGCGCGGCGCCCGACGACAAGGGCGCGCCGCGCGGCGTCGAGGAGGTCAAGGAGGCCAAGGACGACGACGAGGACGACGACGAGGACGACGACGAGGACGAGGACGAGGTGCCGCTCGCGCCGCTCGTGCCGCGGCCGCCGCCCGTCGCGCGGCCGCGCGGCCGCGCGCAGCGGACCGTCGTCGTCCACAACCGGGCCGAGGCCGGCATGCTCAAGCGGGCCGTCGAGCAGGCGTCCTCCGCGACGTCGGACATGACGGAGGAGGAGCAGTCCGCGGCGGACTACCACCGGAAGCGCGCGCAGCAGGTCCGCGCCGCGCGGCTCTGCGGCAACTTGCCGCGCGACGACAACATCACGCTCCACAACGAGCTCGTCAACGACGAGTGGCTCGTCGCGCGCATGCCCAAACACCTGCAGCGCCACAACCACCGGCGGGGCCAGGGGCACACCCACCACCAGGCGCTGCGGCGGGGGCGGGCGCGATAGTGGTTAATCGGGGGGCGGACAGACAGGATAAAGACGGGGGCTCAGGCGTTGACCTTGCGGAGGAGGTCGTCGAGGTCGTCCTCCTCCTCGTCGGCCTCGGGCGACAGGAAGGGGTCGTCGAGGTCGTCGTCGGCGCCGCCGGCCGAGCCGCCGAGGTCGCCGAGGTCGTCGAGCGCGCCGCGGCCGTCGAGGACGCCGTCGTCGAAGGCGCCGCCGCCGCCGAAGGTGTCGTCGAAGCCGCCGTCCCGCGCGGGCTCCTCGAGGAGGTCGCGCGTCGAGTCCAGGAGCTCCGTGCCCTGCGCGATGAGGTCGCGCGTCGCGTCCTCGAGGCCGTCGTCGTCGAGCAGCGCGTCCGCCGCCGCGGACGCGCGGAAGTCGTCGTCGTCGTCGTCGCGGGCGGCGGCGTCCCGCGGATCGTCGTCGCGCGGCTCGAAGAGCTCGCCGCCGCTGTCGTCGAGCCCGGCCTCGTCGCCGAAGCTCTGCTGCGTGTCCTGCGTCGCGTCGTCGCGGCCCGCGCCGCCGAGGTAGACGGCGGCGTCGCCGGCCTCGTCGCCGTGGAAGCCGCCGCCCAGGAGGTCGTCGGCCATCTCGAGCGCCGAGGCGTCGAAGCCGGGCCCCTCGCGCGTCGACGCCTTGCATTCGCGCCAGAGCACGTCGACGGATCGCCGGAGCTCCGGCTTGTGGTCGAAGAGGTCGCGGAGCTCGAGCTCGCTCGCCGTGGCGATCCACCGCAGGGCCGACGCGAACTCGCCGAACTCGAGGGCCGGCGCCTCGGCGCGCCGGGGCTTCGCGGCCGCGCGGCGCCGGCCCTCGGTCGACGCCGGCGGCGCCTTGCCGTTCGTCGTCTTCCCGGAAGCCCGCTTCACCGCGCCGTTCTTCGGCGCCTCGCGCGGCGACGGCTTCGGGCCCTTGGCGCTCGGCGGCCGCTTCGCCGCGCCGTTCTTCGGCGCCGCGGCCGCGCGCCGTTTCGTCGCCGAGTCGCTGAGGCGCGCGAACGCCGGGGGCAGCCGGTGCGGCCGCGGCTTGGGCTTCTCCGGCGTCGACGCCTTGCGCTGCTTGGCCGCCGCGCTGGCGCTCGCCGCGGCGATGCGCTCGGCGCGCGCGCGGCGCTCGGCGCGGCGCTGCTTGAGGTCCGACGCCGGGAGCTTCTTGGCGCCTTTCGGGCAGCCGTAGGGCGTCAGGAAGCACTCGCGCAGCCCGGACCCGTGCGCGTCGCTCCGCGAAACCTTGCGCGGCTGCTTCCGGACCATGGCGGCCATGGCGAGGCTGCCCGGCGCGACGATACGACAGTTCACGCTTGGTTGCGCGTCGCGATCGGGGCCCGATGATTACTTTAAGGTTCAACATCGATGCACAATGCGGCTCACTTTGAGCTCCGTTGCGCCTCACTCCCACAGAGCCGCCGTCGGCGTCGCGTGGAAAAAGCCATGCTGTCGGCGCGGACCCTCGTCGGCTTCAACGACTATGGCAAATCGTTGGGGCGCTGCGCGACGCCGACGCGGCGGCGCTCCCAGTCCGAGTCGAGCTTTTCGCCGGGCATGAGCGGCGAGAAGCTGCCCCCCGCCCTCAAGGAAAATCCGGCGCCGGGCAGCAAAAGCCCGGGCCTCGGGAGCAGCCCCGCCAAGCGGTCCCCCGCCGATTCGAAGCGCGACTCGCGCCTGAGCTCGCGCCTGAGCCCGAACCGGAGCAACGCGCGCGCGCCCGATAGCCGGCGGCCCGCGGCGGCCGAGGACCGGCCGGGGCAGCCCGCGCGGGCGTCGCCCGGGGGCTCGCTGGCGCAGCGCCTCGCCAAGCCCGAGCCCCGGGACCGGCGCCTGCCCTGGGACGCGCGGCGGGCCGACGCGCCGGCGCCGGACGGCGGCGGCGCGCGCGCGAGCTCGCCCGGTGCCGCGCTCGAGGTGTCGGCCGCGTGCGCGAGCTGCTTCGACGGGCGGCACTCGGCGGCCATGGCCTTCGGGGAGGCGACGGTGCGCGAGGAGCGCGCGTTCTGGAGCACGACGGGCATGTACCCGCAGAGCGCCTTTGTGAATCTCGAAGCGGCGACGCGGCTCCTCGAGCTCGACCTCGTCTGCTGCCCCGACGTGCTCACGGTCTCCGTCGCCGTCCACGCGGCGGACGGCACCTGGGAGGACGTCGCCACCGTCACCTTCGACGACGCGGGCCGACCACAGAGCGACGTCCGCAGGAAGCTCTCGTTCGCGAACAAGAACGTCGTCTGCTCGAAAATCAAGCTCTCCATCGACCGGAGCGCCGCGGATTTCTCCATCGTCAAGTCCGTGCGCCTCCTCGGCGTGCCGGCCTGCGCGTAGCCCCTCGAGCCCCGCGACGGAGGCCCCGCGGCGCCTAGGACGCGCCGCGGCGGACCGAAGCGCGCCCCCCTTAGCCTTTTTGCTTCTTCCCGGTGCTCGTTGCGAGCCTCTAACGCGCGGCTTTCCTTACTCGCAGCAGACGTAGAAGCGCTTCACGAGCCGCCACGCGCCGTAGAGCCCGAGCGCGCCGAGGCAGGTGAGGACGACGTCGTCGCGGCGCGCCACGTTGATGAGGACGCCCTCGGCCATGGCGACGACGCCGCTCGCGACGAGCGCGCCGTTGGCCATGAAGAGGTCCCAGTTCTTGCAGTCCTTGGCGCTTCCGGGCGGGCGGCGCCAGATGTTGAAAACCCCGAAGACGACGAACGCGAGCTCGACGGCGACGCGCGATTCGATGCCGAAGCCGGAGGAGCGCATCGCCAGCTGCAAGCCCGTGCCGCCCACGACGCCGCCGAGGACCGGCACGCCAAGGAGGAACATGCCTGCCATTGTTGTTTGTTTGGTGTCTGCGCAGCGCTGCGTCTTTGCTGGTGCGGCTTACTGCTTTAGGGTGCTGTTTTGCGAGTGATGCAGGCAGAGCGCATGGTTTGTGCAGCCGCTGCCGCTGGGGCTGCCCGCAGCGCGTTCTCCGAGAGAGCTCGGCAGCGAGCTGATGTTAACATGGTTGTTGACTTTTTTCTGCCACAAAAAAAAATCTGAGCAGCGGCTGGGGCCCGATCCTGCGCGCATAATCATGGGCCAGGGCCAAACGAGACCCGTCGCGCCGCCGAACGAGCAGCATCTCTGGATCCAGGAGCCGATAAATCCCTGTTTCACGGGCAAGTCCGCCGGCGACGCCTGGGACGCGCAAGCGATGATGAGCCCGGCCGCGCGCGCCGCCGGGGTTAGAGACATGGCCTGGCAGGCGCTGCTCCAGGAGGTGACCGACCATTGCCGGTCCTTTCGCAAGGAGAAGTGGGCCTTCAGCCTGCTCTTCGGCGCCATCGTCGCGAGCCAGGTCATCTCGTTCAGCCTGCAGGCCACGAAGTCGAACGCCGCGAGTTCGCCGATCGTCCCCCTCCTGCCGGTGATCTTCGCGGTCGTCGCCATCGTCAACCTCCTGTCGCTCGCAGGGCACAATCAGAAGGTCGACGCGAAGATCGAGGAGACGCTCCGCGGCGTCGAGCTCGGGCCGGGCGTCACGGCGACGTATCGGACCGAGTACACGGGGACCTGCAAGCCGAAGCACGTGAACACGAGCCGGTACATCGCGATCGCGTGGCCGGGCCAGGCGCCGATGGTGGCCCTGGTCTACCAGGGCCAGGTGCTCCAGGGCCAGGTCGTCCAGGGCCAGGTCTACCAGGCCCAGCCCGTCCAGGCCCAGGCCATGCCGCAGACCGTGTCCATGCAGATGGCGCCGCTCGTCGCGAAGGAGCAAGTCTAGCCTAATTTTCATGTTACGCGTCGGCGAAGCGCACGTGCGGGGCCGCGCGCGTCTCGGGCTCCGGCGGCGGCGCGCGGGTCGCCTTGAGGACGGTCTTGAGCACGGCCCAGTGGCTCCGGGGGTCCTTGAGGACGTGGTTCGCGCGCTCGGCGAGGAGCGCGTCGAGCGCGTCGGCGAGCGCGTCGCGCTCCGCGCGCGACGCGGCCTCGACGTCGAGCGACGTGCGGCCCGTCTCGTCGACGTCGTGGGCCGCGACGACGACGCTCAGGCACCGGTCCGCGTCGACGCGCTTCGCGGCGTCGCGGGCGAAGTTCGGCGTGTGCTTGCCGCGGAGCACGGAGATGTCCGCGTCGGGCGAGAGGCGGACGCGGCGCCGGAGCGCCTTCGTCGAGAGGCGGCGGCCCCGTTTGGGCTTCGCGTCGCGGCCGAGGTAGTCGATGTCGAACTCGTCGGGCGAGTTGCCGAAGGGCCCCTCGTCGGCGGCCTCGGGCACCAGATTCTCCTGGCGCGACGCGTCCGCGCCCGTCGGCTGCCGGCGCCGCGAGAGCTCCGCGACGTCCTTGGAGCTCCGCGCCCAGCGCAGCGCGTCCTCGTCGTCGAGGAAGAGGACCGTCTTCTTCGGCTTGCCGCGGCGCGAGTGCTTGACCACGGGCAGGCCCCGGCGCAGCGCGCCGAGGAGCTCGGACGCGTCGTCGTTCCGCTTCGGCGGCGCCGCGGCGGGCCGCTCCTCCTTCTCGTCCTCGCCGTCGACCATCTGCTGCACGAGCGTCGCCCGCGCGGCGGCCAGCGCCCGGAAGGCCGCGCGGTCCGCCTCGAGCGCGGACTCGAGCGCCGCGCGTTCCGCGGCGAACGTCGCGCGCTCGCCGTCGAGCGCGGCCTGCGCGGCCTCGAGCGAGCCCCGGCTGCTGCGCTGCAGGGCCTCGAAGCGCTCCGCGGCCTCCCAGGCCTCGCGGCTCCGCGCCTCCTGCTCGCTCGCCACGTCGCGCTCGAGGGCCTCCATGCGCTGGACGCCGCGCTCCACCTGGTGGAGCATGTCCTCGAAGAGCGCTTCCACGCTGTCGCGCGACACCTTGGGCTTCTTCTTCCGCTTGAGCGGCATACTGGGCGGCGGGCTGTAGACCGACGGCATGGTCCGTGTCAACACGAGGCTGCCCGGAATATCAGTTCCATCTCGGCGTGAGCCCGGCAATTCAAGTTGACCTCGTTTACCCTTGGGTGAAGTGCTGAAGTGCGATGACTGCTGCCGCGTCGTTCGCGCGCCGTCTGACGTATTGAGAGGCCGCAGCGTGCTCTTGCACTACACCTTCGAGCGCCTACCCAGCATGGAGGCCGACTACGCGCGGCTCGAGACCGACGCCTCGGCGCCGCCGGTGGAGATCGTCTGGGACGGCGTCGGCGTCGCCGCCGGCGCCAAGGAGATCCTCGTCGACGCCCACGGCCGCGCCGTCTCCGGGCGCGTGCTCGCGTTGATGGGCCCGAGCGGCGCGGGCAAGACGACGCTGCTCAACGCGCTGAGCGAGCGCGCGGCGCTCGCGGCGGGCGTCGTCGCCGTCGACGCCGGCGGCGGCCCGCGGCCGAGCGTCGCCTTCCTGCAGCAGGACGAGGTCTTCCTCAGCATGCTCACGGCGCGGGAGCACCTGCGCTTCGCGGCGCGGCTGCGGCACTGGCGCGCGTCCGTCGCCGAGCGCGAGGCGCGCGTCGACGCGGCCTTGGCCGAGTTCGGCCTCGCGGACGTCGCGGACGGCGCCGTCGGCGCGCCGGCGACGGAGCGGCTGAGCGCCGTGCGCGGCCGGGGCCTGAGCGGCGGCGAGCGGAAGCGGCTCGGCATCGCGCTGGAGGCGCTGGGCGCGCCGCGCGTCTTCTACCTCGACGAGCCGACGACGGGGCTGGACAGCGGCCTCGCGCTCGGCGTCGTCGCGAGCCTGC